CAACGGCGGTATCACCGTCGCCGAGGTCACTGGCTCCAACGTCGTCTCCGTCGCTGAGCACGTCGTCATGACCATCCTCGTCCTCGTCCGTAACTTCGTTCCCGCCCACGAGCAGATCGAGCGCGGCGACTGGAACGTCGCTGCTGTCGCCAAGCAGGAGTACGACCTCGAGAACAAGGTCGTCGGTACCGTCGCCATCGGCCGCATCGGTGAGCGTGTCCTGCGCCGTCTCAAGGCCTTCGACTGCAAGGAGCTCCTCTACTACGACTACCAGCCCCTGTCTGCCGAGAAGGAGAAGGAGATTGGCTGCCGCCGCGTCGAGAACCTCGAGGAGATGCTCGCCCAGTGCGACGTTGTCACCATCAACGCTCCTCTGCACGAGAAGACTCGCGGCATGTTCAACAAGGAGCTCATCTCCAAGATGAAGAAGGGCTCTTACCTCATCAACACCGCCCGTGGCGCCATCGTCGTCAAGGAGGACGTCGCCGACGCCCTCAAGTCTGGCCACCTCGCCGGATACGGAGGTGATGTCTGGTTCCCCCAGCCCGCCCCCGCAGACCACCCTCTGCGCACCGCCAAGAACCCCTTCGGCGGCGGCAACGCCATGGTTCCCCACATGTCCGGTACCTCCCTCGATGCCCAGAAGCGCTACGCCGACGGCACCAAGGCCATTATTGAGAGCTACCTGAGCGGCAAGGAGGACTACAAGCCCGAGGACCTCATCGTCCACAAGGGCGACTACGCCACCAAAGCCTACGGCCAGCGTGAGAAGAAGTAGACGTGGAGGATGATGGCATCATACCCAGTGAGGGATATTTAAGTGTTATATATAAGCGTTGAATTTCGAGTTATGCATCGGCATTGCATAGTGCTTCCACAAAAGGAGGACTAGGTTGTAGTATATAGGATGCAATCTAATGCGATGTTCAAAAAACTTCTTCTGAAAATGCGTGGTGGTTCTGTGACTGGTTTGAGGATATCCTCATGATAACTGACTAAACCTGCTGTTGGTGACAGTGGCTGCTTTCGCTGGTTCATTCGTTCCCTCCCAACTTTGTCCGCAGAACTCCTCCATAGCCAATAACATCTTATTAGCTGCCCGCTTCCATCTCACACACCTTGGCTGTCAGACAGTGGTTAATAGTGTCACTCATTATGGAGCTTCATCCACTTGACTTGAAATCGTGACGCTGATTGATTGCATGGGATTTGAAAAGATGGGGCCGGTCCCGTAGCCCCCATGTATATGCATTGCTTTCAATTACAAGACAAGTAAGTAGTACAGGTGCGTCTGTGTTTTCTGTTCCCTTCCTGGGGGTCCAGACGACGCGGTGTCGTCGAACAGAATTCCGTGTGCCGCGCGACCTCTCGAGTCCGTCTTCTACCACACTCAACGGCGATGTTTTCATAAACAGCCCTTCCCACCCATTGTGCTCCAGCCGCCTAAGCAACAAGAAAGGCACAGCGCGCGCGCGCTTCCAAGTTGCCTGGTTATTTTTGTTTTCCAAAAGAGAAGTACAACTCCATTTTTCTTTTTCTCAAAAAACACAACCGCCCATAGATATATATACTCCCCTCTCCAATGCTCCAGACGGAAACGTCTTGTTCTCATTGTGCAAAACCAAAAGGTCTAATCAAACAACCACACCCGCCAACGGCCTAAGAGATGCTTTCAATCTGGTGGTAGAGAAAAAGCCTTTACGACCGTTTCCAAAACTGCCACCAGGGCCGCTCCTCATGTCCCGCATGTCTCGTCTCGCGCTTGATCACCTGCTGGTCGCGGCCGCGGATGCGCCAGAAGTACACCGGCACGCCGGCGACAACGAACAGCACGACGGTGACGGTCTGTAATGGTTGCGCGAAGACGGCGCGACTAAGGAGGAAGAGCGACACGCAGCAGAAGATGATGGGCGTCGTGATCCACGTACGGTACGGCCTGTCGAGCTGCGGTTCGCGGACGCGGAGGATGATGAGGCCCAGAACCGTGATGAAGTAGAACGTGTACCCGGCTACGCCGTAGAACGTCAGGAGGGTGCCGAACTCGCCGACGACGATGTACGCCGCCGTGAGCACGCCGTTGAGCACGAGCGCCCACACGGGCGTGAAGAACAGGCCCATGTCATCATCGCCCAGGGCACGGATCAGCATGTTGGCCACGCGCCCGCGCGAAGTGCGCGAGGTTTGGACGGAGTGGGAGTCGGATGGGGAGAGGCCAATGCGGCCGAACATGGAGGGGATGTACCCCTCCTTTCCGGCCACGTAGACGAGGCGCGAGGAGGTGAAGGTGGAGGAGTTGAGGGCGCCGAAGCAAGATGCCGAGACGATGAGGGCGAGGACGAGGGAGCCTACGGGGCCGAAGACCTTGGCGCCGAACTGGACGGCGATCGTGTTGGAGGCGTTGACCGTCGCCAGAGGGAGGACGAGGAAGTACGAGATGTTGGCGAGAACATATGAGAGGATCACAAGAGGCATCGCCGTGTGGATGACGCGGGGAAGATCACGGCTCGGGTTGCGGAACTCGCCGACGACGTAGTTTGTCTGCGCATGTTAGCAAAGGTGTGCCACCTCGGTGCCGGGAGAGAATCTTACGTTGTCCCAGCCGTCGTATGCCCAGAGACCGGCATACAGAGCCACGGCCCAGTTGGAGAGATCCGTCGAAGTGCCGGAGAACCACTCGTGCGTCTTCCACTCCATATTGGCCTTGCCCGTCAAGGTGGTCCCCGTGATCGCGACTACAATGCCGGTGACGGTGACGCCCAGCAGGGCGACAAACTTCAAAAACATGAGCCAGTCGTTCACCTTCGTGCCCAGCTTCGTCGACACGCAGTTCATGAGCGTGACCAGAATCAACCCCACCATGGCGACCGCCTTGTTGACCCACGGGCTCAGGCTCTCCGCCTCTGCGCCTATCGCCGCCCTGACCAGATACTCTCCCATGATGATGGCGATAATGGCCGCACTACCGGGCTTCAGAACCAACACGGCGACCCACGTGAACAAGAACCCGGCCATCTCGCCCAAGATTTTCGCAAGGTAGACCTGCGCGCCGCCGTTCAGGGGTATCGCGCCGCCCAGCTCCGCATAACTCGCAGCACCTGTCCAAGCAAGCACGCCGGCGATAACCCAGACCACGAGGGCGGCGCCGGGCGACCCAACCTTGGAGCTGACCTGGCTGGGACTGGAGAAGATGCCGCTGCCGATGATGAGACCGACAATCAGACTCAAGCCGTTCATGTAGGTGAGGATCTTGTGCTTCTCCAAGCTGCCGCCGCCGAGGCCACCGTTCTGTATCGCTGTCGAGGTCGGGGCGCCGATGGGGGCGTACCCGCCTGCCCCCGCGCCGGCAGTGGAACTCAGGGGGAAGAGGTTGGCGGCGAAGTCGAAGCCGGAGGAGACTGAGTAGGAGCGGTCACGGCGATTGGGGCGGTTCGAGCTGGCGGCAGGGTTCGCTGCATCGAGGGGGTCTTCGGCCTCGAAGGAGAGCTTGCGGGAGGAGGAGATGGAGGGCCTCGAGGAGGGAAGGTCTGAGACGACGGATTCGGCGCGGGATGAGGAGGCAAGGGAGGCGAGCTCGAGGGAGTCGCGATGCGACTGGATGTTCGCGTAAGGCGGCATGGCTGCGTCTGCGAAGGGAGGGCGTGGATTTCGAGCGAAGGGGGAGAGGAGGAGGAGGAGGATCGCGAGCAGCGATGCTCGACCTGTCGGTTCGTTCAAGCGTTCAAGAAGTTGCAGCGAGGGCTATTGCATGTTGCAGCGCCGACTTGTTCAGGGCCGGTGGAGACGGATCGCACGCAGTAGTCGCCTGCGCACGCAGTGGTGTTTCGAATATTAAGTAGCGGTGGTTGGAGGAATTCGTCGTGACGTCGTTCGCATATACGTTTCGTTTAAAGGAGTCGTGACAAAGTTGCGCCGAGCCCCGTTCTCTCTCTCTAATGCCCACTTTCCGAGTCCCCCAGAAGAAAAACAAGAGTCGAAAAAATCCAAGTTATCCAAGGCAAGCAAGCGTGTAGTGCTGTGCAATTAAAGAGACATGTATCGCTTTGGTGTCCAAATAAGATTGCCTCGGGCGCCGGGGGGGTTTAACAGAGAGGAGGAGGTGTACTGATGTAGTAGTGTTTCCGTCCGGGTGTCGTCGGTGGTGGTGGTGGTGGTGGTGGTGTTGAGGTACAGGTACGTATTGGGAGGAAAGGAGGTTAAAGAAAAATTGAGTTTGGCGCAAACAAAGGCGGTTCGGAGAATTGCGACAAGCGGCCAAGAATACTGGATTACGTTTCTTCTTTCAGCAATCCAGGATGTGCCGCCCTCTCAGAGCCTCAGATTCAGAAGACTGACTGGTCGGTTGCAGCAGTGGTTTGGTTGCCAGCCAGTTCAGTCAACCAGTGTCTGAAAGGGACGAACGGGGCCGAGTCAAGCATTTGCACCCAGGCCAGAACCGCCTCTTGGCTGTGAGGTGGACTCTGGGCAATCTCAATCTGCGACTGGGACTGCGCTGGCTCCAGGAACATCACTGAGGCCCCCATGTTTCGTTCCCGCTCAGACCCTCAGTGCCCTGGAGCAATGACCCGGAACAAACCATGATTGGCCACTGCTGGTTTGCACGGCAGAACCATCTTGGCGCCTGCCACCAGGATAAAGGTGTGGGGCGCAATGCCTCCTCCCGGTGCACTTCCGCTAGAGACAGGGGGGAAGGGGGCCAATTCAAGCCACCGAAGCCACTGAAGCCGCAGACCGAGGCGCGCCAGGGGTCTGCCTGCCAACACTAAAGAGCACCTAACGAAACCAAAGACAACTGAAAAGCAACCACACCTACCTACGGAGCACCGCCGCCGACCAGCAAACAAAACGAGCAACTCCCCGCTCAAGCCGCGGATCGGACAGAGCCAGCTCGGATCCGTTCCCCTCCCCTCCCTTCCGACTTCGAATACGCGCATCGGTCGTTTCTGCGGATACCTGAACCTGGGCGCCAACTGACCGACCAACGCCCGGTTTCCGCGCGCACGATGCCGATCGACGAGTACGCTTCCGTCGGCGGCGGCCTCAAGCTCAAGGGCGCCAAGGTCGGCAAGCCCAAGAAGAAGAGCAAGAAGGACAAGACCGACCTGGAGAAGAACCTCGACGATGGCACTGATGGCGGCGCGGCGCTGGTGAAGCGCCGTTCCGACCAAGACGACGACAACAACGAGGAGGACAAGAAGGTCAAGAGGACGAAGCGCAGGAGTGAAGACCCTGAGGTAGAGGATGGTGATCACGATGAGGATGGCGGCAGCGGTGGTGGCAGGCACAAGACGGAAGCCGAACGGCGATATGAGGAGAGGAAGCGCAAGAGAGTACGTTTCCCCACCCTATAACCATTGATTCGCTGTTGCTGGACAAAAAACGCTGACGATGATGCCCCCATAGCTCCTCGAACTTGCCGAGTCGTCCAGCTCGAGACCCGAACTACTCAAGACACACAAAGAGCGCGTGGAAGAGCTCAACACCTATCTGTCCAAGCTGAGCGAACACCACGACATGCCCAAGATTGGCCCTGGCTAGGGCCGCAGGCCATATCGCGAGAGGACGAAATCGGACAGCATTCGTGTGTGGATGGATCATTTAGGAGTTTTCTGGTTTTTGGCGTTATGAATACCCGCAAAGTCATGAAGAGGAAGATAGAAATGAAGAGAAGCAAAATGCAGCGCCCACGTGTTGTTTTGACTGCCCCCCTAACTGACGTTTCGCAAACCACAGTTGCTATTCTAATCGCCTCGAATGGTTAGGTGATGCCGTTCAAGGGCAATCGATCGACACTCATCTCCAAAGGGTATGCGCCCACATACCAATGCCTCCAAAACAGTAGCGCAGTCTCACAAGTTTACCAGCTTCTCGCTGGAATGCGGGAACGCCCACAATCAAACACACTTGTTCCAAGCCATCATCAAATCATCGGCACGGCACTGTCTCAAAACTCTGAAATGTCAATTTTGGTTTCATTCTTTTCTCCTCCCATGTCTGTTGTTGCATGGATCTGGTCTGCTAAGGACTCCCTTCAGGTGGAGTTGCTTTTCTTGTCAACACCTGTTTTCTTCCGCCGTACTGACGCTCTGTCCCATTTTCTTTTTCTCTCTCTCCCCAACCTCCGTCTATTATTCTGCCTCCGCCCTTTCTGCGGGAAAGCGCATTGCCGCGCGAATTCTATGTTGTTGTTGTTGTTGTGTGTTGTGTTGTTCTGCCCACCAGTTTGATGCAAGGAGTGAATAAGACCGTTGAATGTCGTGAGTAAGTAATGCTGATGATGCTGCTGTGTGTGCCGCCCGCTCCGTTTGTACCGAAAACACCGTGATAAAGGAATGATTAACTATGTAAACAGAAATAATCGTCTCAACGTGACGATGCAAGTATTGCTACTTCGTTGCTTAAAGCAGAAGCATGGCGCCGGCGACGAATCCGGCGAGAGCGACGGGCACGCCGAAGGAGACGCTGCCGATGGGGACGGCGCCGTTCTGAAGGCCGCCGCTGCCGCCGCTTCCGGAGGTGGAAGTCGGCTCGGCGTCGGGGGCCACGGCGACAACGGAGGTCGCCGTCACGAGCACGACGTCGCCGTTAGAGGCGGTGGAAGTGAAGGTGGAGAGGACGTTGCTGAACGAGGTGGTGGTTCTGCGCGAGGTGGTCGCGGTGGTGGTCTCCCGAGTGTTTTGCTCTGTAATGAAAGTTAGCGTGCTGCTCTTTTTCTCACTGATGAAACGGCAATGACTGGAGAAAGGTAGAGGGGGAAACAAAGCCACATAAAACTCTCCAAAAACGGCCTCCGCCTTCGCTCGAAAACATGACTGTGCTACAAAACCACAACGCAACATACCAGATTCGGACACAGAGGATGAAGAAGGCGCACTCGAGGTTATGGGGGACGAGGATGTCACGGCCGTAGTAGTCTCGGGAGGAGAGGAGGTAGACGTACCCGACGCGGACGCACTCGTAGACCCTGGGGAGGCCGTAGTAGGTTCAGAAGAGGGGGCAGTAGAAGGGGAAGGGGGAGAAGAAGAAGAAGGGGACCCACGAGTCGTCGTCTGAATCTCAGAAGAGGCGGACGGCGGCCCGGCAGTGGTAGTAGTAGTATCAGGAGCAGCAGAAGTAGCCTGCTCCGTTTGTGACGTACCAGTAGTAGGGGCTGCTGCTGAAGTTGCCGGTGTCGTAGTAGTCGTCTCCTGAGCTGGAGTGGTGGTGGTTTGAGGGGTAGTGGTCTCCTGCGGCTGCTGGGCCGTGGTCGTGGTCGTCTGGACGGCCGGCGCCTGAGATGTAGTCGTCTCTGCGGGAGCAGCAGATGTGGTAGGCTCAGCGGCGGACGTAGCCGGGGCTGAGGTCGGCGTGTTGGCCACAGACTCAGAAGTTGTGGCGGCTACACTGGCGGAAGGCGTCTGGGAAGCCTCGGTAGCAGCAGAGGTCGTGGTGTTGTCCTGACGCTTGGCCAGCTGGAGCAAGGCAGAGGCCAGGTCGGCATCATCAGCCTGGACAGCCTCCAAAGCTTCCTTGTCAGAGGCGTATACGCCATCCTGATACCTGTCTGGGAAGTAGGCATGGAGCAGTTTGTGGAGGAGATCGGCCTTGGCAGGGTTGTTGAGGTCTTCCTCACTGATCACAACCTGGGCTTTGGCGTGATGGTCCCTTGCACAAGGCATGCCCCGGTGACCGATGACTGAAGCAAGACTGAGGGTCATCAAGCCGCACACAACAACGCCGAGCAGGACACGGCGTGGGCCAGCCATCTTCTTGGTAGGTTCCTTGGACGGTCTGGAAAAGGTAGAATCCCTCTTCTCGTCGATAGGCAGCAGTCCCTCTTCCAGGCGTGAGTCGTACTTGGTGTCGGAGGCCATGGTAGCGAAAGAGACCGGTGGCCGAGACGTGAGGCGATATGGGTTGTTATAAGAGGGGACGAAGAGGTTCAGAAGGTTCTGCCCAAGACGGCAGGACGGAAACGACAGGGAATATAACGTCCAATAACTGGACTCGGACGTATGCAGGGTAGAGTCGGTGACAAGATGCGGGCCTTCTTTTAGCGTCCTCACTGCTGCATGGCGGCGAAACGCAAAAAGATGTAAGAGAGGAGGAGGGGAATCAGACCCGAATGGTGGACTCGAGCCAGGAGGCTTGGGAGCTTTGTATATCCGTAGGTCACAAGCGGCCTCCGTTTGATGTGGGAGGGAGGGGCAAAAGACGATCTAAAAAGAACGATATGCGGTGGTACCTGGCTGGCCGAAACCCTTTATCGGTGGCTGGTGTTGAGAGTAGGGCCAAGGCTTGTTCAAGACCCGGCACGCTAGCTGAGGTCTGCGGAGGCACGCTCTTAGCTCACTTTTGAGGATGAAACTCTGCCGTCGGTTGTTTATTCGTTTTAGAGTGGACGAATGCAAGCCTCGATTGAAATTTGAACTCAAAAACCCCAATGTCTGACAAGGCGTTGAGTCTTCTGGAAGGTATGTACGCAGATTAGCGTGCTGGTCCGGCAATCTCACGAGGCTCGGACTGAGGAATGAGTCGAGATGAGTAGGCTGTTGATACGGCTTGATAGGCGGCACGATCGGGTGGCGATGTGTTGTGAATAGTACAGACGTGTCGTGTCGGCAGTGATGTATACGAGCGAGCGTGGTAAACAAATCAACAACAATCGCACTTGCCGGCAGACGGGAGCATTCGAGCGAGAGGATGGATGGCGAGAGACAAGATTGGGGGATCAGATGGAAAAGCGCAAGAGGCGAGATTGAGCGAGGGGATTGGCGTTTAAACCTGTTGAAGATCGTCCCAGGCAGCCTGCACACCTGCTGCGCGCTGCCGTCTATCCAGACGGCTGGGGGAAGAATCTTTGTGCTATGCATATCAAGATTCCCTGTTTCGCCGCGCCGGCGACGTACCCCTGTCTTGTCGGCCCAACTCAGGTCGAGCTATCCGTCCCATCAGCTGCGCACCCATGCTCAATGGCCCACGGATAGCTCTTTTCTCGCAGACGGAGCCACGGAGCCACCGTTTGCACCCCTGTTCTCTCGACAAGGGAGCTTCTGGAGGATGAGAATCGGCCAACAGTCTTGCAGATTTCTCGCGGCAGAAGCCCCAATTGCCCCAGTGCAACCCCCCCTTCACCGTGGCCCAAATATTGAGCTTCCCATTTCATCACTTCATCCACATCTTCCATCACTCATCAACTCCCGTCCTGTGCACAGCGTCCGTTTTGCCAGGGAAGGCCGGTATGCGCCCCAGCGATCGACTGGCACGCTGGAACGGGTTTCCACCGAGCAACCGTCACCGCCGTCAGTCCTCGGTTCCGGTTTGATATCGACCTGTTCTTCTTCTTCTTCTCAGGAATGATGTATTAGTGCAATCTGTAGACGAGGCCTTTTGTGGTTTTTCCTCGATTCCTTCGGGCGTGCTCTCTGCGCTAGGCATGTCTTTCCGCCCCTACCACGACGGTATGGCGGCGGCTGCTGCTGATGTCCACTGTCTAAGTCCACTGGCTCGCGCCCGGCGCTCCCGTCAAGTGGGTTGTGACATCACTACAGCGAGCCTCCAAACACACCAGACACAAGAATCTCGTATCTGCTCTGAGGCATCGTCAGTCTGATCCAAACGTCCCACACATTCGCTCGCTGGACGAGCGCGGGTGAGTGACGCCGTGCTTGCAATACGAGTCGTCTGGTGTGCTGGTGTGCCATGTTCAGATGGACGGGCTTGTAGCATTCTGCGCCGCCGCAGAGTGAACACGTCTCCTCCACACACTGCCACATGCAGACTTGATGTTTCGTTGATCAGTCAGACCATAGGGTTTTGCTGGCCAATTGGTTCCCAGCCTGCATTGTGCTCCCTGGAGAGCTGACTCTCGGGGCCTGCACCCAGCCGCCTAGCGAACGCCCGGGGTTGGGCTTGTGGGCTTCAAGTCTTGGTCTGCCTGCAGCTTGTCGCGACATCGTCCACGCTGTCACTGCATGCAGGCTGACTATTTACACTCGGTCGTCAGCTTCGCGGGGCGGGCGTTGAGTCTCATGATCTGAGGGAGAGTGAGAGGGGACATAAGCCGCTCGGCCTTTCCTCTAGTCCCTCATCTCAGCCCATTGTAAGATGGAGCCTCATCTTTCAAGCCCTCTTCAGCCCAGTTCGGGCTCGTAGGGAGAAAAGAGTGTTCCGATAATGTGACTCTGTTCTCCCCCTGAACAGCCATCTTGTACCTGAATGCGGCGTGGAACACGTCAAACGGCGAGGTGCAACTATCCAGAGCCCAGATGGCGGCAACAAGCATCCATCTGATCTGGGTAGCACAGCACTGTCTTTGTCCTCCGTGGAGGTGGCTGTGATGGTTGGCCGTTTGAAGCGTTGTGCACCTGAAGCCGCCCGTACTGCGTAGGGTCAAGCAGCCCGTCAGACCCGTTTGACGTTCTGTTTGCGTGCTTGTGAAACAGCGAGCCGGCCGTCAGAGGGTGTACTGTCACCCTATCAAACCGAGAAACGGGTACAGACTGCATGCACCGGAGCTGTCACGATGGGGCCTTTGGGGGTCTTTGACAGAGCCTCTCGTATTTTTTGACTATTTTATCTTTTGCCCATGCTCTGTTTGGAGCAGTGGCCCTGTGCTGCGGTTTCTCCAGCGTAACCCCCAGTCTCTGGCAGCCAATCCCCAAGAAGCTGCAGGGACCAGGCGATACGAGATTTGGCCTCTCACGAAAACGGATGAGGACCCCTCCTCTTGGGATGGGGCATTCGCAGTCGAGCAGCCGAATGCCGGACGACGACCCTATTCACCTTCATTCGTGGTGATTCGTGGGTGTCGACGCACGCTTCGTGGCCCGCTAAGGCCTATCCCGGAGCTACCTTAGCGGGAGGCGAGATGTTGAGGCAGTGAAGGCAGCTCCCGACCGGTAACTGGCCGGGCCACGGAGAGAATTGAAGATGGTGGGCTCCGGATTGGGAAACGCTCTGCGACCGACCAGGCCCGGCCCCACGATCTGGTGTTGTGGCTTGCAGCTCCGATGGACAGTTATTTTTGGCAGGCCTGCCGTGCTTGCGACGACTCTCGGCGGATTGTGCAAGCCAACAAGAAGATGCGAAGGCGACGATCGCGGTGAGGTTTTCGACCGCCCGACGGAGAATTGAATTGAAGTCATGAACCGACATGTACCTCGTGGTGTACCTTGTTTGTTATGGGTCACATGGCGGGCTCCGCGGTGTCCAGCGGGATGCGAACTGCTGCCCAGCTCCAGTTTTCGAAGCATTGGAAGAAGCACTGGGAATCTTCGGAAGATCAACAGGAACTCCCCACGATATCCAGTATTCCAATTGCTATTTCGTCAGCAGTCCACCGCGTTCCAACTCTGATGACTGGGCTCGGTCGAGGCTGGACTCTGGAGCCAGGCCTCGACTCTGCTCTGCCATGGAAAGGCATGGTTGAAAAGGTTTGACAGATGCGACTCCCAGCCAGATGAATCGGTGCCAAGACCGGGCGGATGCCGAGATGGCCATGGCTGCTGGGCTGACGTGGTCAATTGAGTTTTTCTTCCGGCTCCTGGAGGGCTGAATGATGCTTTCTGGCCCTTGGCCTGTGCTCGTTGTTTTCGTGGTGCGATTACTTGAAAATGACATGGTGATGGCGACTGTGTTGTGTGCTGTTGACTAAAAGGCCGGGCAATGCCTGCTGGAATTCGCAATATCCGGCGCATTGCGGTCGCAAATTGGGTGTGCGCCGGCCTGGACACTGTAGATGAGGTCACCAGCGTCTGGGATGGTGTCGCATGAGTATCTTCATCTGGCGATAGGGAGACGGCTGTTGACTCTCGACTCTCGACAACAGCCACAGGTGACTATCGTCAGCATCGCACCCTGATGAGTTACCAAAGGTAGTTGCCCGATAACCATGGAGCGGCCTTCTTGGTTGCTGTTCGGTCCCGTGTCGGAGCGTTAGGTAAGCTGTGCGGCTTCCACCTGGGGCGAAGGAGGCTGCGCCAAGGGAATGAAGTCGCTGAGCCACCGCGGTGATGTTTGTCTGGTGTGGCTCGCCCGCCCGTGCACCGTGCCCCCTCCCAGTGCGTGGTCCACTGGGTTCCGGTGGGGATTTCTCGCGGCGGTAGCCTGCCTTCCCGCGCCCGGCTGCCCGCTGTCACCCTCTTCCACAGGCTGTCATTGGCGTGCACAGCACTGTCGCTGTCCCGCGCATCACTCCCTGGCCGCGCGGCTGATGGCTTCCCAACACTGGTCTGGTGGTGGCAGACGGGAGAATGACAACACGCCTGTCTAAGGTAATCAATCCATAGGTAGTGTCGCTGAAAGTGGTCCTCACCTCACCAATTTGGTACTTTCATGTGATGGAGCTCTCTCCCCACAACCGCATCGTCGCCGCCAACTTGTCCCCTCCACGCCTCCATTTCCAATCCGCTGTGGTCTGACGTGTGAAAAAAACATCCACGACGACATCAACAGCTTACCAAAATACTCCCGGCCCCTGATTGACGCCCGGATTCCGCTTTGCGACCTGCGAGCCGCACCTTCCCCCTTAGCGCCATCCTCGTCTCAACCACGCTCCCTTCCGTCTTTCCATGTTGCCTACCTAGCACCACCACGGCTACCGTCAATCAACTCCACCACGCCCACGCCTAGGTCGGCCTCGTCTTTCTCGAATTGATGCTGCCCCCGCGGCACTCTCCGATGCGATAGCTTCGCCATGCCCGAGCATCTCGCACCAAACGCTCTCTTCGGCCACGATACAGAAGACAAGGATGAACTCCGAACCCTCAGCCGCTCTCCCCACCCCTACCATCACCTCAACACTGAGCTTCCTCATCCTGCCCATCGCATAGTATATCGACCTTCCAATCCGACCTCCACACCGCCCAAGGATTCCTCCGCAGAGTCGAGTCGAACCCCGTCTCCCTTCCCTTCCTTCACCAAGGACTCGTCCCAGGGAAGCGACAGCGGCACAGAAGCCGACGATGAGCACTTCCTCAAGGGTCTCCCCGCCCCCAAGGTCCGTCTACACAAGGGGCTGAGGGGTCGCAACGAGATCATATCTGGCGCATCAACGCCGCTGTTTTCCCCAGAGAACCAGGAGGACGACGATGCAGCAAAGCGACAGACACAAAGGGCAGAGAAACTTAGGTTCTGGGAGGATCGCAACTACCGCCGAACCAAGGAGCTTATCCGACGAGTATCCGAGTTCATCATTGTGGGCTCACTCTTCGCCGTCGTTCGCGCCAATCCGAAGGTCAAACCTATCCTCTCCGCCTGGAGCCAAGGTATGCGATGTGTTCCCCCTGCGCTGGCGGACGTTAAACTGACCCTGCATAGATCTGCGCTTCCTTGCTACATTAGTCACATCGCTCATGCTTCTCTACCCTATCCGACTTGTCGCATGGTCGATCCGACACAAGACCTCATCCAGCAAGTCACCAATCGCAGTTCCGACAATCTTCGACCCTGCGCCTATCCTCTACCCGCCTTCGATCACACTCCTAGTGTCCCTTTTAATTTCCCCTGATAACGAAGCAGTGATTCTTCCAAACATCATTCTCGGCATCTCTTCGATACCCAAGTATTTAATTCCTACGGCACGAGCTCACGAAGCGATCAACCCACTTCAATGGGTTCTGTCATGCGGGCCATTATGGCTGGCGCGACATTCCATAGTCACTGCGGAAGGAGCGAGACCAAGCGTCCCCCTCGAGACCGCTCTTCTTCTTTACCCCTTGCATCAGACCTTGCTCACTGTGTTACACTATCTCACGACGACCAGTTTGCTCACAGCTGAACTACAGCTGCTTTCGATTGCCTTGATCAATGTTCTCCTGCTTGCTCACTCGCCTCAAGCCACGATTCTTCAAGCGCTGCTCTGGGGCGGTGGTGTCGGCGTACTCGTCGTTTGCGGACCTGTGGTTCGATGGGGAATCGCCTTGGCTAGGGTTCCAAGGTTGCGCTTCAGGCGCGTGATTTCCCCGTCGAAGAAACAGTCCTTCTTTGGATTTCTCTCTGAGGGGCTCTCGATGAGGCGTTTCAAGCATGAGCTTCTGGGCTCCTCGTTGGAAGAGACGGCGTCAGAAGCCGGAGACTCCGAAGACGAAATCGACGGGCCTTTCTCGAAACCACTCAGGGTCAGAACCTTTGGTGTGGCCGACATGCCATCGCAGACGGACCGGAAAGCCGATGGCTTGCATTCCGACAACTCCCCGGACTCGCCTGATGGCTCCGCGATTAGCCGCAGGAATACGTTCCCTCACGTGTTGCAGCGACCACGCCCACGAAGGTCCCTGACGCATACGTCTGCTGGTCGCAGAAAGCGTACCGCCTCGACCACAGTCCGCCAGTTCTTCAAGCTCACGGAGGCTCAGGCGACCATGAGAAAGTGGACATACGCTGCCTACGTCTATGCCAGCATTGTCTCCATCATTCTGGTACCTGTGCGAGAATATATCGGCAGGTTTGCCCTTCAAGGCAATGAGCCTGTGGGTTGGGCCTTGGGATACCTGCTTGGCGAGCTTCCGTGGTTCAGGTTCCAGGTGGTGAGCGCAAACCTGGAAAGATGGATTTGTTTGCCTACGCGACTGGATGAGGAAGAAAAGGCAGCTTGTCACGAGGGCTGGGTTCAGCACGTTCGATTCTCTGACTTTGGAGAAGCCAACACTCGACTTCTCATGAGCGCTTACTGGTTGATGATCGTAATCATCGGCTTGACGATTGTCACACGCCTGGATCCCAAGTACGAGGTCGACACGCGGCGCAAAGTCTTCCATTTCATGATGGTGGGGATGTTTCTCCCGGCCACCTTCGTCGACCCTGTCTACGCTGCCCTTGCGTTGATCTTGGTTCTGGCCATCTTCCTCATTCTCGATTTGCTCCGGGCAAGCCAGCTTCCGCCCCTGTCGAGGCCAATCGCATCTTTCCTGACTCCCTACGTCGACGGCAGGGACCACAAGGGTCCCGTTGTCATCTCCCACATCTTTCTCCTCATCGGCTGTGCCATCCCCCTCTGGCTGTCTTTAGCTACCCTTCCCCGTAGCGGCAGTGGCCACTTGGCTGGCTGGGAAGTGCCGACGCGCGAGGTGAGCATGGTGGCAGGAGTCATCTGCGTCGGCCTGGGCGATGCAGCAGCATCCCTCATCGGTCGCCGTTTTGGCCATAGAAAGTGGGTTTGGGGTGGTGGAAAGAGTCTAGAGGGCAGTGTTGCCTTTGCGGTGGCAGTTTTCCTTGGTCTCATGGCCGCTACTACCTGGCTGAGAATCGGAGGCTGGCCTGTTGCTCCTGAGCAGCAAGTTGCCTGGCCATCCTCAGTGCGCAACGCGGGCTTCTGTGCAAGCATGGCGAGCCTGACTGAGGCAGTCCTCACGGGAGGAAACGATAATGTCATCGTGCCGGTGGTCCTCTGGACATGTGTCAAAAGCATTGGGGTGTAAAGAACATAGGATGGCGTTTCGGGGGACCGGGTGGGGGGAACAGGTTTACAAAAAACTTGTAGAGCATCCCAAAAGGGGATAATGATTTCACGAATGCAATGCCTTGATTCTGACGCACATTGCTGATGTGATTATATTGCTTTGCTTTTGTGACAACCTCCAGTTGTGATGCACCCTAGTAGACTTGCCATCTTCCTTGAACTCCATGTTTATAATCCTGTGCCATGCGCCTCTCTCTCATGTTCTATCAATGCTTTAGATCACCCGAATACTTGATTTATACAACCATCTCCTCAAGAATAGCCTCAAGCTCATCCCTCTTGAATGGCAAGCTCAACAACTCTGTGCCGAAGGCGTCCTTCTTGCTGATAATCATCTGATGGTCATGGAATCTGAATCATGTTAGTATACGCTTCTCAAGTATGTGTCATGGGAAAGGGGTTGGCTCACTCTTTCAGCAGCGTTCGGAAAGCCACCTCCGAAGTGCTGATGAAATTCTCCTCGGCCTTCCTGTAGACTGTGTTGTACTCCAACCCGGGGTTCTCCGCCCCGAGCTGGTGCGCAGCGTTGCCGTCGTCGTCGTCGAGCGCGAGCAGGACCTCGGTGACGATGAGCTGGAAGAGCTCCCGCGCCCTGGTCGAGAGCGAGCGAAGGACGAACATGGCGCCCTCCTTGCCGTTTACGCGGCGCGCCTTGCGGCCGAGGAGCTCGTGGACGTCGTCGACGGTGTCGAGCTCCACATCGAGGGGCTTCAGAGTGGTGCAGTCGTGGAAGAGGAAGTTGAACGAGGTGCGCTGCGCGGCGTCCCACAGGAGCGGGAAGGACGGCGTGTCGGCGGTCGCGACGAAGCGGACGCGCGGGTGTGCGGCCAGCTGCGAAAGGAGCTGCTGCGTCGCGGGTTTGCGGAGCGGGGCGGCGTCGACGCAGTTGATGATCAGGGTCACCGGCTTCGGGTGGGATGTCAGAGCCGAGGAGAGAGTCTGGAGCATGCCTGCCGGCTGGGCTGGGAGCTTCAAGCTCGGGCTTATGGCGGCGGCGACGGTGGTGAAGACGTCGCGCGGGGTGATTGTGCGGACGTATCCGTTGACCACGACGATTGGGGCCTTGGGGTCTGCCTCGTACAGATGCGATGCCAGCTTGGCTGTCAGATCGCGCTTGGAGCCCTGGCCGAAGAGACATAGGCCGAAGCCCTGTGCCAACTCGAAGCACCACTGCTCAAAGGAGGCTTCGTGCAAGGATTGCAAGAACGCAAGGTCCTCCGCGTGCGGCTCCTCCCGGGCGCGGAGGAGCTCAAAGTACTCGTCATGCGATAGGAGATCGAGAGAGGAGAGGGTGTTGTGGGATGTCTTTGCGCGGCCGGGCTTGTTGTGCTCAAAGTACAGCTCGTGTGGCGCCAGCTCCCGGGGAGGAGTCGGCGACTTGGGAGGCGGTGGTTGCTTGCGCGGACGGCCTCTTTTCCTGGGCGTCGCTGACGGGGTGTCGGGCTCTGTGGGCGGTGGTGCCTCAACCGGCGGTGGTGGTGCCTCTGGTTGCTTCTGCTTCTGCTTCTTTTCTACCGGCTCATCTTCCGCCTCCTCCTCTTCGCTAGATTCGTAGATCTCGCGCGCCAGACCCTCTTCGTCCTCCTCGCTGTCCTCGTCTGCGACGACACGCTCGATCAGGGCCCTGGCGCTCTTCCGCCGCGCAGAGCGATCCGCGGCCTGCCTCCTCCTCGGCGTGAAGCCATTCGTACCCGTGGCCTTAACTGGCGTCACCAGCGTGTTCACCTGGCGCAGTTTTGACGGGGTGACGGCGCCGTTGGCCGGCGTTGCGGATTTCGGCTGAGGGCCTTTGCGCTTCGTGGGTGTGTGTGTTTCGGGTTCCGAGTCGGCGGCTTCTTCCCCGTTGTCTTCATCGGAGGGAACCTCATACGGATCGCGGTCCGCGTTGCCTGCTTCTTCTTGTGTCGTCTTTGATCTCCTCCGCTTAGAGGGCGTGCCGTTCACAGGCTCCTCGTCTGCTTCGTCGCGGCGTGCACGTTTTCGGGCGGGGGATTCGGCGGGTTCGGGGTCTTGTTTGCGTGTCCGAGCCATCTTTTCGAAATCTGTCCTCGGTTTATTTGGTACAGATATTTCGATTTCTAGAATAGTGGTTCTAGGTCGAAGATTGTCGAATCTTGAAGTCCAGCAATCTGAAACGCGCTGACGCGAAAACGTGAAATCCAACAGGGAGAATTAAAGTGGGGCCATGTTCCCCAATTGAGTTCCATCGTTGAAGTTCCCCTAGCCCAGCTTTCACCACCACTGGAGAGACGTCACAACTCAGTCGGTGTTGCACTTGAACAATATGTTATCTTACTTCGACTTAAGTATACAATATTGTTGCGTTCATATGTTCAGGTTGTTATCCAACTTGAATGGACTGTCTTAAACTGCTCATTGATATCGGGAGGCAAGCAAAATGACGGCGTCCCAGCAGCTTAAGACTCCCAGGAGAACCCACATACCTCTCTTACAGGCAGCCATGCAAACCATCCCAAGTTACCTGTGTTACCGGTCGATATTCCAGCCTTCGAAAGATGACCTCTGACAGATGCCTCATCACAGGCTGGCCCATCGAACAGGGATCCCCTGCAATATCCCCAGGACTTGTATCTTATCGACTGACAGGGGTAGCTGCAACCAGATGGCCCAAGCTTCCGCATGCCAAATTTCGTCCGTCTCTACCATTCCAGACCCGACGTCACTCCTCCACCACATCCAGCCAGTCCGCCCCGGCACTCAGTTCACCATGAATCTCAATCTCTCGGGAACCGTCAATGTGTTCAAGTTGCTATTCAAACCATCCCTATGTCTTCCGCATCACACCGTAGCAACCTTCAATGACCTTCCTATTCCTTTCGAGAAAGCCTTCGAGGGACAAAATCGGAAGTGCGATATTAGAGCAGTTGTTCTCGACAAAGACGACTGCTTTGCTGTTCCCCACACAAATGAGGTTCATAAACCGTACAAAGTAATCAAAACTGCAGCTGGTTTTCGCGAGTCTATACTGACTGAATAAAGGAGCGCTTCGAGCAGTTAAAGGCCGCATACCCCGGCCGCCGCCTTGTCATTGTGTCCAACACCGCCGGAGCAACGTCATATGACACTTCGCTGAAGCTGGCCAAGGAGCTTGAGCAGGCTACCGGCATCACTGTTCTCCCACACAAGACGAAGAAGCCCGGCTGCGGCTCAGAGATCATGGACTACTTCCAAAGTCATCCGGAGACAGGCGTCTCGCATCCATCCCAGATTGCGGTCGTCGGTGATCGTTTGACGACGGACATGATGCTGGCCAACTTGATGGGCGGCTGGGGCTTCTGGATCAGAGAGGGCGTCGTGCCTCCAGAGAAGAAAAGCATTGTAAGTCACCCTCTGCACATGCTTGAAAGTCACGCTGATCGACGAATGAAGTTCTCGAGGCTGGAGTGGCGTCTCGCCGCAGCACTTACATCCAGAGGCTATCAACCAGCCGAGCCGCAGAGTCCATTTGAATAGATCTCCATCCGAAATGTATTGATCGCACCCCGGAGGAGGCAGGGTGGCAGACCAGGTTGCACTCTCTCCTCGTTGTATACCACAGTCCATCGCGTATCCGGCTCAGCTCTGTTGCGTCGTCCTGTTCAATTTGACCAAATGCCTTTTCTTGAACTCGGCGAAATTACCGTGGAATTTTGCTATTCGAAACGAATATACGCCCACTCTGATTCGCCCTCAGAAAACAAGACCCAAGACTTTTCGAGTCACGAGATCCGTCTCCTTCATCCGTTCTTCTCGCTTCGGCCACGAGATTTTCGCGCTAAACCTCACATTCACCATCACCACCCACACCTCCCTCTCTCGCCGACTGCGTCCTCACGTTCCGATTTTCTTTGCTAAATCACCACCTTTTTGGTACAAAAAGTTGGTTCGTCAGTTCACTTGCATCGGGCAACCAATTCACTGGCCAAGTTTGCTCTCGCGCCTAAGGTCTTCATTTACTCACTTGGTCCTTCCTTCCGTTCACGTATAAATTTCGACCTCGAATTTTATCTGTCTGCTCCTTCCGACCAACAACAACCAACTTTCACCTCGACAAGCACATTTTTAATCTCTCTCACCACCCAACCTTTTGGAACCAGGCTCTTTCCATCACTTCATCAGGTACCCTTCGCTTCTTCAAGGGACTGGTCTCCCTACCGTTCACCGTACAACTTTCAACTTCTCCTTGTCAACGGCAGCCTTCAAGCGACAGCAGCTGTGCTGCGTGTGCTTGCAAATCGTCCGACAAGGCCGTGATTCAGCGATCCGTGGTATTGTCACCGGCTCAGCTTTCGAACTATAAGAAGCCACACAGTATCTTGCGATCTCGCGAGCATCAACCTTATCAACATACATTTTCCACCAACATAATCACCATTCACCCGTTCACAAAGACATTCGCATCAAAGAAATGGGCGGCAAAGTGTGGTCTCCGGCGGAGGAGCGCGTCTACTGGCGTACCATCGTCCCTCAATCTCAGAAGCGCGCTGGTCGCGGCCCTTTGCCTCCAAAGAGCTGGGAGGATTTGGCGGTGGTGATGCAATCAACAATGCGCGATGATGCTAAGCGCAACTACACCGCCCTTGGACTCTGTCGGTCACATCCCTCTTTCAATTACGCACAGAACGCTGACAGACCTACAGTTGAACACTACTTCCAGAACATCGAGAAGGGCCGCGTCTCGCCCAATGCCACCAAGTATGTGCGTGAGCACAAAGAGATTCTCGCCCGAGTAAACCAAGAGGAAGAGGAGACTGAGATCGAGGGCGATATCACCGATAAGGACGCGACCATCTCTGATCACAGCCAAACATTGCCTAGCTCTCGTACGGGTGAAACCACTGAGGAGGAAGAGATGTCTGATGCCATCGACATCTATGACGATAAGGAAAACCGACCTGTTTCCTCCACCCGCAAGCCTCTCACATCCATGTCCTTTTCCGATACCAACCAAGCCGAGGAGGCTGACATGGGTATCGACCCCAGAGCCTACCTCTCAATCTCTTACAACTTCCCTCGCCCTGGGTTCAATTACCAACATCCAACGTCGGCTGAACGCTCAACCATAGACAGCTTGGGGGTGAGAGGTCCTGCCCCTGGATTCGAACACCCTTACCAGGACTATCACGATCGCTTCCAAAACAATCTGGCTCATCGACGCAATCAGAGTATGTTCCTGCCGCATGACCAGGTTCCTGCCCATTTCCGCGGCAACCCCGCGGACTATGAGCCCGGCGGCCGCTACTTCTCGCTGCCGGCTCCGGACTACCGCTTCGCTCAACCAACCCAGGACTTTTACGGACTTCACCCCATTCAAACCCAGGCCGCACCTGGCCCCAGCCTGGGCTTCAGTGTCTCGAGGCAGCAATACAGCCCGTCGACTGCCGACTTTTCACCTGGAATGTCGTTTGATGTCTCCAATCACAGGAGAACGGGGTTCACTTCTGAAAGAAGCAGTTCCGGCCCTCAGTATCACAGCTCACGATCTTCCTCGTCCATGCTTCAGTCGGCTACCAACGGAAGCTCCGCAGATTACTGCCATGCACGCGCTACGACCCAGAACGACTACTATGGACGCCAACCCAGTCCAGCATCGACTTCGGGTATGCCCAAGTCAAGCTATTCTGGCAGCAGCGCAAGGCCCGAGCAGACCCTCAAGAGAAAGTGGACGGAGGAAGAGTACTTCGAACGCCAGGCACGCCAGCAGGTGATGAGAGACAGACATGATCAGCGTGGAGAACCCGAGGGAGCCAGCTTCCAGCACAACTCCGAGGAGTGGCGCAACGAAGGCAACCATTTGAGAAGCCAATACAACACTGCGCATGGCTCGCTTCACCCAAGCCAACCCCCTTCCTCCGCTACTGTCAACGCCACTTCCTACTACACCTCGACGGGCCCTCACGTCTCTCAGCCTTTTGGCACCGATGGAAGAGGCAATGCCCCAGAGAACTCTCCGCCGACCTACTTTAGCGACGGTGAGGAGTTGTGGTATAGTCAAGACATCCCTGGAGCCATCACAGACTCCGAGCCAGCGTATCATTACGGCAAGTCGGCAGGTGAACATCGCCGGTTCGCGGCCTCGATGGCTGTGGCAGAAGAGACTGGAGACCCGAGGGCTATCAAACCAGAAGATGGATTCATGGCCTTTGAAGTCCCTCCCCCTGCTGAACGCGGCTTCACTGGCGCAAACTCTGCATCTCCTGATCGCGTGCAGTAGTCAGTCTATCATCGTCTCTTCCCACAGTTAGCATCACTGTACGAACATTCGTTTTCGCAACATCATTTCCAGCAATGATACCCGGTACGCATACTTTTCCCAAGACAACAATGCCAGCTTAATACATTATTACTACCTGAAGCGGCATGGGTTTCTAAGGTTGAGGTGGGTCATACATGATTTGGGCCGACACGATTGAGGTCAAAGCAGGATGGAATTTCTTTTGGGCTCGGTATCATGATAGTGCTGTCAAGTGACAGTATAAGAAGGACAAAAGGATACCCCACATTGATATGCGGTGGCGGAGTGCACTCCGTCAATGATAACCCCCAGTCATGAACAAGTTTAGCTAGTTTTTGCCTTCACTCATAGCCTTTTGATACAGAATTTGAACGGACAGTCACAAAACCTCTGGCGGCAGGCGGAGTTATCCCTCCCCGAAAATGATGAAAAGACAACGCGCATCTAAATCATAGCTCGTCCTGCCCATCCAACCCCTTATCCCATGCATGATGACTAAGGTAAGCTTGCCGAGGAAACTCGGACGACTTTGAGATCCTCATAGTGGGTACGGGGCGCGTAACAAGGGAACGGATGGCATGATCTGATATTAAGAATTGCTGTCCGAGCGGGAAGGCCATGAAAGCAATGAACCGGAGTTTACGGGGGGGTCTAAGACACGAGAACTGGTTATCCGTCGTTTTCCAATTGTTTTTCGTTGCTTTATAAGTCGTGGTTGCTCCCCTTCGGGGGAGATGGGATATTGCAGAGGAAACCTTACCAACTTACACAGGAACGTTACATAAAGGGTCACACTTGCTTTTTTGCCCCGTTATCTATTTTACCCCTCATCCCAACCAACCAGGACACTCTTTTATATACTTTCACCCAGCGTCTCATTCGACAAACATACCAAATGGGGGCCGCTCAGATTCTCAAACCAACAACCATGCCAATCAACCTCGAGATACCAGTCTTCTCGCCCTCGTCCGCGCTGCACGCCCAGGCCATCGGCGCGCAGCGCATCGAGCTCAACGCCAAGGGCAGCTACCCCGTAGGCGGCACGACGCCCTCACTCGCGGACCTGGAGGGCATCACCAAGTGGCTCATGGTCCCCGTGCGCGTCATGATCCGCCCGCGCGGCAAGCCGGCCGACGGCCCGGACTTCATCTACACGGAGGACGAGCTCGCGGAGATGGTCAGGGATATCGAGACCTTCCGCGGGGTGCTGCGCAAAGACCGCGGCGACGGGTTCGTCTTTGGCGTTCTGAAAGCGTCTGCGGATGGTGAAACAGTGGCGATTGACGTGGAGAGGAATCGGAGACTTGTGGAGGCGGCCGGGGGGCTGCCGTCTTCTTTCCATCGTGCCTTTGACGAAATTGTCCGGGACGGGAGCGCGCAGACGGTCGGGCGGGGCGTGAGGGAGCTTGTGGAGTGCGGGTTTACCGGGGTGCTCACCTCGGGCGGGCCCGGGAATGCCGCCGGCAACAAGGCCGTTTTGGAGGAGGTCGTGCGGGCCGCGAAGCCGTTCGGTTTTGAAGTCATTGTCGGTGGGGGTGTGAGGGCTGCCAATGTCGCGGATGTCACGGACGGGCTTGTGGGTGTTTGGGCGCATTCGAGCTGCTTCAATGGGAGGTGCGAGGAGGGGGAGGTCGATGACGAGGAGGCGATGGGCATCTTGGAGGTTCTTGCTGAGAGGTGATCCCATTTTGAGGGAGCGGAACGGGAGCTTGGAGACGCATGACAAGTCGTGATAGATTGGAGTCGGGGCACGGCTGGCTAGACTGTACATAGGAGGGACACGGATCGGAGCCGAAGCTGAGTTTTCTTCGGTCGATTGTAGATAGCATTCGAACTTGCCAAGTAGTACATGATTTAAGCCATCGTCTTGCTCGCTGTGCGTGATTATAGAGGCCTCTTCAAGTTCGTTCTCAAGGTGATGTTCACCACCCGGAGTTCCAATGAAGTCAAAAGACGGTCGCCGAGACGGGATGCGGGAGATCGGCCACAGGCGCGTTTGCCATTGCGGGGACGGTTCGCGCCATTTAGACGAGATCCGTGGCCAGGCCCTTCAATAAATCAAGGAGGGGGCAAATAACAAGGAAGAAACAGAAGACCATGAAGCGAACAATGCACGACACACTTACATCGTTTGACAGCTGCAGCGTACGATGTTCTGGCCGGGATGCAACCTTGCAATGTTAGTCTCGTCAGTCGACTTTCCCGGAACGGCTTGGAAGGCGAGTTTCCTTCCCGTGTCTCCCCTTGCGCGCATCCATCTATCCCCGGCAGGATCTCGGTGCAATATTAATGGGAAACTCAATTCACGAATGGGGGGGGGGAAAGACCGAGTTTGACGGATTTGTAAGTTGTTGATTTTCCTGGGAGAGAGAGAGTGAGTGGGATTGTGGGCGAACTGACGATTTTGGTGGGACATGACATGTTGATCAGTCCATTTACGAATGGTGCGGTGGACGTGCGCCATGATAGCCGACCTTCGGTATCCCAACTTGGCCGTCGTATCTTTGATGTTAGAAGTGATGTTGCGGACTCTTGTGGTTGAATTCTTTGTGGAAATTGTTGATGTTGTGCTGACATGCAGATTGATGCATCTGAAGATGCATCCATGGATAACACAGCATGCATAGCACAGCGTCGTTACGAACACAACAACTGAACGAAACCTTGTAATGCTTGAAGATCCAACACAGATCTTGCCCTTGAACGCCTGAGGCTTCATTGACGGAGAAGTGTTCTGCTATGATTCAGTGCGTCCAGAGTAACATCACCGACTTAGCCCAGCCCCTCCCCTGACCCCAACGGCGTCTGATGTTTAATAAAGATCTGTTAGGTTGACAGAAACGATCAATCTATCGGACAGATTTTTGATACTTTACAAGATGCTGGAAGCCCCTAAACCAGGATAATGCCCGGACGAAGGGACTCAACGACTGCCAGGGACGAACTCCCCTTACCCTGGCTTGAACATGTCCCCTCCTCGGCCCCTCTCAGGGGACTAAGAAGCGGTTCCCAGCGGAGCTATGTCCGCAAGTTAAGAAGATTCAAACACACCAAATATATTTGTTCCCCTGATTTACGTATCTGGCCCCCAGAAAAGGGGCTTGCGTGGGGTTCGGGTGTTCAGGAAAATAGCTGAGTCTGAGCCTAGACCTCCAAAACGAATGCACTCTTGTCAGTCGTATGGGTAGAAGACGTATGAAAGTGTCACATATGGGGCAAAAGCGGTAATGAAGTAGACTGTCTCTCTGCATCATTCACAAAACTAAGCACCCGTTCATCCCATCTCATATTCGTTATCTGCCACGGTGACGTTAGTGGGCCCTGAAAGAACCTGAAAATAGGTAGGTACCTAGACCTTGTTCGACTACTTTTCTTGCGGTAATATAGGTCCTCTACCGTACTATCGTCGTTGCTACCCTCGTAGTCATCGCTACTATCGTCGTTGTTACTATTTTCGTCGTCCTCATCGTCCTCGCTGTCCTCGTCATCGTTGTCGATGCTGCTGCCCTCATCCTCATTGTTATCGTTATCGTCGTCGTCGTCCTTGTCGTTGCTATTATCGTTATTATCCTCGTCCTCGTTCTTATCGTTATTATCATTACTGTCATTACTTCTACTTCTGTATTTAATAGGAGTAGTTGAGTACATAGGAAATATAGCCGCACATACACAGAAAAATTAGGTAGATGACGACAGTCTCACACCACACGGAGCCATTGTCAGAGTCACTTTGCAATAGGTTGAAACGTCTTTGATATTAAGTGTATTGATTATTTTCAAGACTTTATACTTGGTAAAGAGTCTACTACTTTTCGTTCCAAACACGACCCCTCAACGCCACCCATGCTTTTACATCTCGCTACATCTACAGAGAAGCATAGAAACCTGCACCAGGTCACGCTTAGGCGTGGAGGTTAACCGCCCTTCTGCGGCGAACACCGCCGCAGCCAGTGGCGTTGCGCGGCTGAGCGAGACCCAGGCAGTTGGCCATCTTGTAGAAGATGTCGATGTTGTTGTAGGTACCGCCAAAGGTCTCCTGGCAGGGGCCGCGGGCCCAGACGGCGACGTCGGTGAGCGAGTGGACGCCCTGGGCCTCGTTGGTGGGGATGGTGCCGTTGACGACGAAGCCGTCGGCGGCGTCCTTGGGGTTGACGTAGTAGTCGGTGGTGTTGGTGGCGGCGACGGCGGGGGTGCGGGCGGACTCGTGCAGGGCGAAGTCCTCGCGGCGGTCGGGGCTGGCGCCGACGCCGGCGGCGATGGCGTAGCGGGGGTTCCAGTTGAGGGGGAAGTTGGGGCCGGTGTTGTAGCTGATGCCGGGCTGCTCGACGGTGTACTGCGAGAGACCGGACTGGGCGTAGGTGCCGACGGCCTTGCGCTTGGTGCGGTCGTCCTGCTGCTCGGCGAGGTACTTGGTGTCGGCGCTTCCGAAAACGCTGTCTTCTGTCAGTGTTGATCTATGAAGAGTGGCAGGGTTTGACTTACTCAAAGCCGTGGCCGTGGTCGGAGGACACAACGACCAGGGTCTCCTCGAGGATGCCGAGCTCCTCGAGCTTCTCGATGGTGGCCTTGACGGTGTCGTCAAGCTCAAGAAGGTCACCGAGGGCACGGTCGTAGTCAAGAGAGTGCATCTGCTTGTCGATGGAAGCGGCCTCAGACATGAGGAAGAAACCATCCTCTCCACCGCGGTTGTGGAGGATATCAACGGCCTTGAGGGTCATCTCCTTCAGGCCAGGAATATCAAGAGCAGCACTCTTGTTACCAGTAGGATCGTTCGTAAGCTTGGCCAGGTTCTCGGTGAGAACGTTGCGGTCGAGCCAGACGGGAAGGTTAGACTGGGTGAAGATACCGAGAGTCTTCTGCTTGGAGTCGGCGGCCTCGAGGGAAGTCTTGTTGAGAGCGACAGTGTAGCCTTTCTTGGCGAACTCCTCGTAGTAGTCCTTGCCCTCGTAGGAGCCCTTACCGGCGTAGAACTGCTCAGCACCGCCTCCAAAGTAGACGTCGGGGCCCTCCATCTTGGTCCAGGTGTAGTTCGTGATGCCGTTGAGCGCCTGGTCGATAAGAGGACCGTACAAGCTGCGGGAGCGAGTGTGGGCGGTCAAGGCAATTGGGGTAGCGTCGGCGATGAACGCGGTGGAAACAGCACCCCATGCAGAGCCCCAGATTCGGTGGATGAGCTCGACAATGGTCTCAACCTTGGGGTCGTCGAAAGCGTCCGGGGAAGAGTCAGCGTAAACGCCCATGGCGTTGACAGTGCTCTTATGGCCAGAGTACAGAGCAGATGCGGAGTTGGCAGAGTCGGTGATGTAGCTGTCGATGGAGTGCGTCATCTGGTGACCAATGACGGGGAACTTGTCGAGAGCCAGGCTGGACTGGTACTTTCCGTTGATGCTCTTGTGGCCGAGAAGACGGGCGGCAGTGACCATGTTGGTAGTCATACCATCGCCTATAAAGCCATTGTTTAGTAGGATTCCAAGTCATTTGCAATCAGTCTACTCACCGATGAAGAAGATGACGTTCTTGGCCTTCTTCTCAGTCGCCAGGGGTCGCACAACCCAGTTGGCGGTGGTCGTCTTGCCATCGTAGTACTTGAGGGTAACCACATAGTTGCCGGGCTCGTACAAGGCGATGTGGCGCCAGATCTTGGACGCCACGTTGACCACGCTCTTCTGCTTCGCGTCCTCGGCGAAGAGGTCCTCGTACCAACCGAAAGACCACTTCTCGAGCTCAGGCTCGTCGAGGCCGAAGAACTCAGCCAGGCCCTTGGCCGCGCCGCCCTCCTTGGCGATGCTGACGGAGAAGGCCTCGTCGGGGACACCGTTGTTGAAGGCCTCGGAGCCGTTGACGGGCGCATGGACCTCGACACGGAGGTCAAAGAGCTGGCCGGGCAGGAAATCGGACTGGTCGGGCGGGAGGACGCAGCCGAGATCAGGGCAGGTGCCGAGTCGCTGGTAGGTCTGCGCCGACACGAGGGACAGCGAGGCAGCCAGGACTGCGAGGGGGCTGAGCTTTGCCATCATGTTGATCCGACGAAGAGTTGTCTGTCAATGGGAGTCGGGACAGAGACGACGGTGAAGCGTGAACAGAAGATCCAAGCTCGGGGAAAGCTTGCTGCAGCTCGAGAGCTTATATACCCTCCTGCAGCCATCGCAAAAGAAAAAAGTCATCCCACGTCAATTGATTTCTGGGAGGGATCACCCCCGCCGAAGCTGTTGTCCGTCCAGTCCCAGAGCCATGTTCCCACTGCATGACAGCATACTTTTGTTGGTTCGCGGATCCTCGCATTCACGGGCCAAGCACCGTGAGAGCCGGGATGAGAAGCTGCAGATTGCACCGCGTTGCAATCCTAGCTGAGGAACTTTCGACCAACGCGTTAGGTAGGATTCCGTCGCCCGGGCCACGACATCAACGCGCGATTGGCCGTCAGGCAGGCGGATGGCCCGATACAATGACGGCGTACGGTGACGGTGTCTTGGGTCGAACGAAGCAGGATGCAACTTCACGGCTCATCTTGGGCAGAACAGGCACGTGTTGCGCCGAGCTGAGCGGTCGGCATCTCGGTTTGTTATTGCCAAGCCTCTTGTCAAGCGTAGCGGGCGGAGATGATGCCAGGGACAGCAAGAGGAAGCTGTGTCGTCGGTATGCGAATTGGGGGATGAAGCCTGGACGCCTGGGGTCCAGAGGAAGAAGAGATGAACGGCGTCATGTGGCGTAGGCTTGGCACTGCAGGTCAAGGACGGGCATTGTGCCTTTAAAGCTTCTGGTGTGCCCGGTGGATGTCGTGATTCGCCGATACGGTTGCTTTTCATCGGTTCGTGGGGAATCGATAAAGTGATCCAAGATGGCACAGCGTGGGAGTCGTGAGCGGTTGCTCCGGGAGGGTCTAACCATGGCCGTTGAGCTTGACCTCGTGGGCGAATTGACGCTTCTGATTGGCTGATCACGGTGTAAGTCGAGGACCAGGGTCCGTTGCGGGGGTCACTCACCACTTACATATATGAGAGACTTTTATACGGAAATCGTAATCTTGAAAGGCCATTTGAAGGATTCAAGGTGATCCATGACGAAGATTCTAAATGTACGTACCTGTATTATTCCGCACTCAAGCCAGTGACTTGGAACTGCACAGACGTGCGCGTTCTTCAGTGCCAAGACTGGACTGGATGAGCTCCGATATGGTCAGCAAACATTAACTGCCAAGCAACAGAGAAGCTTTGCTTGGCGTTTAAGTGTCGTGGCCGGTTGAAGACCACCGATTTTTGACTCACACGAGAGTTTCCTAAGGAATTTCCAAGGCACATATTTGCAAAAGCTGCATGGTTACAATCATGACTGTTCTTTGCCAAAGTTTCAATTGATGGCTCAGTAAGCCAGACCAGGATGAGGGCATCAAGTAGAAAAAAAGTGACGACCCATTTTTCCTGTGGTTACTTATATACCTTACTCTACTTTACTGTCGTCGTCTTCGTTGCTACTACTGTCGTTGTTATTGTCGTCATTGTTACTGTCGTCGCTATCGTTGTTATCGCTGTCATTGTCGTTGTCGTTGTCGTTGTCGCCGTCGTCGTCGTCGTCGTCGTCGTCGTCGTCGTCGTCGTCGTCGCCGTCGTCGTCCGTAAAATGAATATTCAGGTACACAGGAATGTAGCCGTCCAGGCGCAGGGAAAATAGGCGTTCTCGTAATTAAAAAAGTTTAAAACTCGATGTTCCAGGTCCAGGACAGTGGCGACTGTGGCCATGCATGTCGAAAGTCCCGATGAACAATTGTTGAAAGGCAGACTAATAAGGATCATTTGTTGTCGACAACTCAAGGAAACATACAGCAAGTCGAACGACACTGGGTCCGTTATGGGGAAATGCAGACCTGCGGACGACCTCTTACCTGACTAGGCATACCAAGCACGGACTTGGATGCAGCTTAATCTGGTCGGCCCGAGGCCATGGCTACCGATGAAATGGACATGAACATTCACGGGATGTGCCTCACTTCTGCTGCTGCAGGGACAGAGATCCTGGCTTGGCTTTTGTTCGAAAAGTATCGAAGCCGGGGACCAAGGTATACAGCAAGCCGGCTGGCTGCATTTTGCTCGACACCAAAAATGAATATATTGCATAGATTTCAACACTGCCGTCTCTCATCGGTATGTACAGCAAATCAACTAGATCAAACACACAAAGAAAATCATGAGAGAGCTCCTTGTAGATGCAATGCCTCTAAGAAAGATGCTCCCCAAACTCAGGTATACCACCGAGGATCGACGTGCGTAAAGGAGATCTCTCTAAGACTCTATGCTCGGGCCTCGATAGCTGCTTTGATTGCTGTGAAAATAACGGTCAGTATTGATGCCCCGAAGCGAACGGAATGACATACCGTCGCAAGTAACTTTAGCATCTCCAAACAACATGCGTGTTCCAGGCATGTAGAACATTGGATTGGGTACGTCGGCTATACCATGTCAGCATTCGTTCGTTCAATGTCAGAACTTCACATCAATGAGCTTACCGTATCCGCTAGCCATGCCTCGCTTCATTACGATGACTTGCTTGCTCTTCCACGCTTGCAGCACGGGCATACCGGCAATAGGGCTACCAGGCTCCAAGGCGATGGGGTTGACGGTATCGTTAGCACCAATGACCAGCGTCACATCGGTGTCGTTGAAGTCGTCATTGATCTCGTCCATCTCCAAGACGATGTCGTAGGGCACGCTCGCCTCTGCGAGCAGGACGTTGCACTGACCGGGCATGCGGCCAGCCACCGGGTGAATGGCGAAGCGGACGTTGATGTTCTTTGCTCGCAGCATGCTCGTGATTTCGCTGATGGCGTACTGCGCCTTAGCCACAGCCATACCGTAGCCCACTACTATGATCACATTTTCGGCGTTGACGAGAGCTTCAGCCGTGTCTTCCACGTTTGTTTGCGTTATCGCTCCCTCTATCTTGTAGTCAGTTTGCTGCGGTGCCGATATACCACCAAATAAGACGTTTGTCAGCGATCGATTCATAGCCACGCACATAATGTACGATAGAATGGAACCAGATACGCCGATGAGGGCTCCTACTGTAGTCAGAAGCGGGTTATCCAGCATAAAGCCTTCTGCCACAAGGGCGAAGCCAGAGTACGCGTTCAGCACTGTGATAACGACAGGCATGTCTGCTCCTCCAATCGCAGCCGTCGTGGTATAGCCCTTGATGAAAGAGAGGATCGTGTTTGCTGAAAGAGCCGCGGCAGCAATCATGGGTGAGCCGGGCGCCATCGTCACGAACGCACCCATTGTAGCAATGTTGGCCGTGAGCATGCCAGAGTTCAATATGTGTCTCCCGGGTAGCATGAGCGGCTTTGAAGACATCCTGCCGGCCAGCTTTAGGAAAGCGACGATCGATCCGGTAAAGGTGATGCCACCTATGAGGACTCCCAGGTAGCCAGTAACCATATGGAGCGTTGAAATGTCATCAATATGCGCCATGACACTTCCGATAGAAGTCAAGACAGCTGCCAGGCCAACCACGGAGTGGAGGGCGGCAACGGTCTGAGGAAGGTCCGTAGGGGTGATCCGCTTGCCGATAAGAAGACCGGCAATACCTCCGAGAGCCGCCAGAGCACCAAACTGAGTTAGTACCTCAGGGGAGAAGCCGACAGCCAGAAGAGAGGCCAGCACACCGGAGCCAACTCCGAGCATGCCCAGCATGTTACCCATTCGAGCTGTGGACTGAGATGCCAAGCTGGAGAGGGAACTGATGCAGAGGACGGAGCTCACGGCATAGCCAGCCTGCACTAAGCCTGCAGTTCCGGTAGCAGCTGCGGCAATATATCCTCCGCCAAACAAGGCCGCGGGGATGGCATAAAGCCACGGGTATTCCGGTGGGTCAGTCGGTCGCTTGAACATGTCCAACATTCGCTTCGTGATGACGAAACCGCCAGATACATTTACGAAGGCGAGGAGAACAGAGAGCGCGCCCAGAACTTGAGGGATCGTCTGAGGAATATAGCCACCACCTAAGATGAATAGGCCGCCAACCCCAACCATTCCTGGCAATTGTTAGTTCTGTCCAGTGATTCTTGCGATTTGAGGGAAGCTGTGGTGGCACCTGCCCATGGGTGCTACAGGGGTCTGTGCGCCCAGGGCCGCCCATGCACACAGTTTCTCAACCCTCTAGGCCCGCAGGGCACTCCAGATATTCCATCAATCACCACCTTCACGCCCTTTGCCATGATAGAAACACGTACCGGAGATAGCATTCGTTGCCGACATTAATGGGCTGTGAAGCGAGGCTGAGACCCCCCACACCACTCGATACCCGATCAGGGACGCGAGACTTAAAGTAAATATGTTATTCATGAACAAAGCGTCGGTCATCTTTCCCAGCGCAAGCGCAGTTCCCATACCAGCGGTGACGGTCGCAACTTCGCGAGAAGTCTTTTGGAACGGCGTTAATGCGACGACTTCAGCCTCAGCGGCAGCGGTAGGAGTCGGAGGCGGAGCTGGAGCTGGAGGAGGAGCCTTGCGAGGAGCTGGTTGGATGATGTCTCCGTTTTGAGTGACGATTGCTCCTCGGACGACCTCGTCAGACAGGTCAATTCCGAACTGCTTCTCCTTGGGAGCTATGGACAGCAGAAACTTGGTGATGTTATTGGAGTACAGGGTTGAAGATTGCGTGGGAAGTCGTGAAGGCAAGTCGGTGTAACCTGGAAGAGTGTCAGTCAACCATTGTTAGACCAAGGGGCTTCGTAGAACCTACCAATGATCTTGACGTCCTTGTAAACATAGAGCTCTCCAGGCTTGGTCTTCTCGCAGTTTCCGCCTGCCTCAGCTGCCAAGTCGACGACGACAGAACCGGGCTTCATGATCTCTAGCATTGACTTCGTAATGAGCTTAGGCGCCGGCTTTCCAGGGATCAGGGCAGTGGTAATAATGATGTCGACCTCGCGAGCTTGTTCAGTGAACAGCTTCATCTCGGCTTCGATGAACTCCTTTGACATCTCCTTGGCGTATCCGCCAGCTCCGGAGCCGTCTTCCTTGATGTCGACCTCGATGAACTCGGCGCCTAGCGACTGAACCTGCTCTCGCGCCGCGGGACGTGTATCAAAGCCTCGCACGATCGCGCCGAGTCTTCTAGCGGTTGCGATTGCGCTTAGTCCAGCAACACCAGCGCCAATGACAAGTACTTTGCAAGGAGGAACCTTTCCGGCGGCAGTAACCTGGCCGGTCAAGAAGCGACCAAAATTGTTGGAAGCCTCAAGAACAGCCTTGTATCCAGCAATGTTGGCCATGGAGCTAAGAGCGTCAAAGACCTGGGCACGGGAAATCCGGGGAATTTGGTCCATAGCAAAAGAGGTAGCCTTCTGCGCCGCGAGCTTTTCTACGAGTGGCTTGTTTTGCGCAGGCTGCAGAAAGGAGATGACGGTCTGCTTCTCTTTCATGAGCTCGATCTCGGCGGGAATTGGCCCGCGGACCTTGAGAACAATATCGGAGCCGGACCAGACTTTCTCGGCGCTGTCAACAAGCGTTGCGCCGGCGGTTTCGTAGGCGGCGTCCGGGAAGTCGGCCGCGGCTCCGGCGCCTTGCTCTACAAGGACTTTGGAGAAGCCCTTTTTGAGCAGCAAAGCTACATTTTGGGGTGTTAACGCGACGCGACGCTCATTGGGATAGATCTCCTTGGGGACGCCAACAGCAAGGTTGGCGTACGGGACAGACGGGGGCTCCACGATCGTGGAGTAGGGCGCGGTGGTGACAGGTCCGGAGACTACGGAAGCATGGCGAACGAGCTGCAGAGGCCTCGAGACGGCCGGGACGAGGGCCGTCGTCTGGCGAGCTCGCGCATGTGTGCAATTCCACTTGCGGTGGCCTTCAAAAGCCAGAGTAGCCGGTGCGACTTCTGATGCGGGGTAATCAGCATCGAGCAGGAAGCAATTGAGTTCGCTCGTTGTCTAGTGCCGGGGGAAGCTGGCTTACCTAGACCGACCGGCCACGAGCGAGGGACGAGCCGCCCGGAAGCGCGGGATGAGCAGAGGTTGGTGGCCAGAACTGGCCGCAAGACGGATAGGTTCACCATCGTTGCGAGTAGGCTTCGAGCATTCAGGCTAGCGAGGCCAGGGCGACGAGGCGATCAGGCAGCGCGGATTCTCATCTGTCGTCGTCACTGCCGATTGAACGACAGACTGGACAGAGGGCGCAGGGCAAGTATTGGTGTCTATACGAATGTGGAGCTTCTAGAGTGTTGTGGAAAGGGAAAAGAGAAGACACGAAGAGCAAGAAGAGAAAGAAAAGTTCAGGGTTGGGATTGACTTTGCGCCCGAGGAAGAAACAGACAACGGGCTCGTACCGTGTCACGTTATTCTCCCGCGTCTCGTCCATGCCCCTCCTCCGCCCTCATCACCTCTTTGGCCTTCCCGAGTCCTCCTCCTGGCTTCTCCGCGCATCCGGATCCTTGTTCACTCCCGTTCCCGCTTCCATTGTGCCCCTCAGGCGGGAGCGCAGAATCGGCCAAGTGTGTCGCAGATGTCGCAGGACGAGCTCCAAGCTCCTCCAATCACTGTTTGAGTCTGATGCTTGGGGTAGCCGCCAAGGTGGCCACCCCGCTCGAAGCTCTGCTTGCTCTGATTCACAGCCACATGGGTGAAATAACCGGATTCAAGAAGACGCGGGTGCGGATGTTCCGCGAGGGTAACCGTAGACGAACAGTTGGAGGTAGAGAGGGAGATGGTGTGCGCGTGCGACTGTTCGCGTGTGGTACGTATGAGCTTCAGGGGGTGATGGTGTGAGCTGCTGGAGGAAGTGGCCTGCTGCACGCCTCCGTGCAGGGAAGAAGTTACCTCGATTGCGCCCTGGACCCGCTCACCCGCTTCTCCAGTGCGGGGGTGGGGCCGTGGATACCAAACATGGCGCTAAAACATGGCAGCACGGCTCTTTTCCCCGCTATCCAAGCATCTGATAAGCCGTCGATAAGCCTGATAAAGCTCTCCTCGAGCACCGCCATCAGCCAGTTTACATTGTACGCATGACAGAGTATTCGTCTCAAGCCAATGCGACGGGAGACGGACTCATGGGTCATTATGCCGCACGGGCTGCGACATAGAATCCCTGGCCTCATCTTGACCCGTGTTTGCTGCCGTGATGCGGAGAAGCTGCAGCAGTCTGCCCCCTGTATCCGTGGGTATCCGCATCTTCCGTGCTCCCTCCCCGTGATCCAGATTCAGTTGTCCCAAATCTCTTCATATTTCTGGAACACACCTAGCGTAGGGTTGATAAATAGACTCAGATATCAAAAGCAAACTTTACAGGTTAACTTCAACAGAGCGCCTGGGCAGTAGCTCGTACTTGTCAAGGTGTCGTCTCGACTCCAATTTAGCCAGCCTGATGACGACTTCCGTCACATGTGTAATGCATGCAGCTGCGCACAGAAAAGGAAAACTTGCGTCGGCTAGCTCGGGCTTTTCCTCGTTGAAGACGGGCGGTTGCAAGATGCGGCAGGAGGACAGCCAATGGAACTGCGACATCTGAGTTGGAGAAGCAGAGATACGTTCTCCAGCTGGGTTGTTGCAGATTTAGTGTCAACCTTCTCAGTCTCGCACAGCAGTGGTCGGATGATGTCTTCCAGCGGCCGTCTTAGTCATGGTGAGAGGCGATGCTTTCTTCGTACTGAAAGCTCTCAAGCTCCATCATCTACCCTTCTACTTCCCTGGTCTAATACATAATATTTTGCCTTCCGCGCCTTTGGGCGTTAGCATCCCTGATGCCTTTTTTTCTTCTCGCATACCGCGACACACCATGACCCTTCAGCAAAATTTCACTGCAAAAACGACGTGTCGTCTTCCACAAGACCCATCATCTGCTGGTTACTGTAAAACCAATCCTCCAGCTGCGACGCATTGCCCATCCACATCATCTGGTTGAGCGGTCCCGGCCCGGCGGGGTTCATACCGTCCTCGAGCGACCCCATCTGCTCCGGGTTCCCTACTTCGCCCCCGGTCTGCTGCCGATCGGCGCCACCGCCAGTCAGCCCCGCCGGCGGGAACCCGAGCGCCGTGAGATACTTGTCCATCTCGTGGCTAGCCTGCACCTGCTCCGACTGCTGCGAGTCCTTCCGCATCTCGACGTACCGGAACGCCACGTTGTACAGCACGTGGAACAGCCGGTAGAGCCTGGCTGACGCTTCAGTGAACTCCTTGGCGGCCTGTATCGATGTGACGAATGCTTGCAGGTGGGCGAGGTCCGCTGCGTCGTTGGTCTCCATGACTTGACAGAAAATCACAATGAACGGGACAAACGGAGCAAAGAGAATTGTCCTATGCGACTTGTCAGCAACCTGCTTGTTCGCGTGATTGTAATCATGCAATCAGTGACACTTACCAGTTCATGTACATGGGGAAAAGATAATAGCCGTCTTTTGCCATGATCTTCATACAGTCCTGGTGTCTTTGCAAGGTCGCCCTTGCTGCATCGATGCACTCGGTGCTGAATGTCGTCGGGGAACCGGGAGGCGATGGCACGGCTCGGTAGATGATGGTCAACAACGACAACCTCAGAACCTCATCTGAGACATTGAAAAAGTCCATGGTGTTTTCACCGACGGCCTCAATCGCTGCTTGAAGATATTGCGCCTGGTCAAACTGGTCAGTACTGAGACATGCAGACCCGTGTTGTGCACTTACGTGAGTCTCTTGCGTGCGCTCCGTCACGCGCTGCAACTCCGCAGCCAAACCCCGAGCGCGACCTTCACGGACGGAAGCTGGTTGTGAGAGTGCCTCAGGACTGTACAGCTGCTCATACGTCTTCCCCTGGATGCTCGAGACGATTACCCACAAGCAGAAGTAGCTCATGAGCGCCCCGTGGATCTTGCTTGAACTTGACGGGTATGGGACGGTGACGTCGTAGTCCTGGATGTTCGACGGCCTGCCAAGACGGAGCGACAGACTCTTGTCTACAAAGTACACGGACCAGAACAGGAAGATCTTGTAGTCCTCGTCGTCCTTGTTGCTACTCCTTACAGAAGCTATTCTGTGGTATCCGAGACTTTGACACAGCTGAGCCGCTGCACAGTTGAGCGTCCATGCAAGGGACGGTTTTGCTACCTCGACGGCGTGGTACGCCTGTAAATTGTAAGCCATCAAACAATGCAGCCGAGTTCGTTTAACTCACCCCGAAGAGCAAAGCCACAATCATGTCCATTGTTGCTGGCAGATGTAGGGGAAGGTTGGCGAGGGCGGTCTCCAGGTTATCACGACAGATCGCGCTCATCTTGGTGTACTCTTCCTTTTGTTGTTCCGTGATTTTCCCTGTCATGATCATATCCAGGTAGAGACTCTCCAGTCCGGCATTGACGATGATGAACTCGGCTTCATTAAATTCAGTTGGGGCAAAGAAGACTTTGAGTGTGAGATCTACAAAGTGATCCGGATGCAAAAAGTTGTTGACCCATTGAACGCCAAGCACTCGCTGCGCTGTTGTACAAGGCGGAAAGTTAGCGGTGCAGTAGAAAACGGCCGGGCAATAAAGTCGTACCTTTAGCATCGCGGATGACGCTGACTGCAGATTGTACCGGAGGCATTTCCCATTCACTCAAGGCCGGCCGTGGAACAGGCCTGGCATGAGCATACGTCAGTTCATGAGAAGCAGACTGCTGCTTCAGCCCCTCGACGAGCGAGTGGAGGGCGTCGAGGGTTTCCCGCATCTCGAGAACTGATGCGCTGTCACCGACAGTTTTGCGAAGGAACTCATGAGCAAATATGGACTGGGCCGTCATTGATGATTCGCCCTCGAGCATGGGCCCGGTCGGCTGCACGGTGTTGACATGGCTGGCAGGGGTCGATGTCGAGGTGGTGGCGGGTTGCGAGGGCAGCGCGCCAGACTTGGCAGCGGCGGCGGGAGCGGACGAAGCCGAGGCCGCAGCTGTCGCGACTGTGGGGAGTTGCAACTTGAGGTCTTCGAGAAGACGTACGACGCCGTCCAGGCGGCGGTCAATAAGATCAATCTTCTTTTCGCTTGAAGGTGGGGTGAGTTTGTTAGAAACAAGTTTTTTTTTTTCACGATGCGATGAGATGGGACACATACTATTGAGGGGTGATGAGAATGCGAGTTCTCTTCTCCTTTGGCTTCAGGCCCGAGGTGTTCTTACACTCGATGCCGGCGTGTTGGCAGTGGGCGCAGGGGGTCTCTCTATCGCAACGAATCTGGGGATTCACAACGTCAGCTCACAGCGTCCAATGAATGGCTGCGAGTGACATGACACATATTATGGCTACACTAGTGTAAAGGGAACAAGGGTTGAGGTTGCTAGGGGGCCATCTGCGTACCTTACGAGCACGGCAAGCGTCACACTACATATTGGGTCAGTTGGATGAACTCAAATCAAGGGACCATGATTTTTCAAAAACTTGCCGCTCGTTTGATCGGGAGAGAAGAAGGGTTTGAACCGGGGCCTGTTGCTCCAGCGCCTGCACCAGACGATTCGGCCTCCATGATGGCCGGCGGGATGTGGGTGTGGTTCTGTCAGGTGTGGAAAAGGCTTAGATGCAAGGGGTCGCAGTCTTCTAGAAGCCGGCGGGGCGGATGACAGATGGGCAGAGGATCCGAGCCCGGAACAGTGACTCAACGACCGAAAGGTGGGGACCCAGACAGGTTCGGGGGCGGGTGACGTCGGGCTCCGAGCAGGTTGAAAGAGCGGGCGTTGGGGGTCGGAACTCAGGGAGTAAGTTCGGGAGGGAGGATGCCGTCCGGAGGCGTTCTTTGAGCTCTTCTTAGAAACGAATGCGGAGCGCGCGGGGCCCGCAACCGAAGCACTATGGGTCGAGGCCGCCGGGTGCTCGGCGGGATACCGGTGGCTGTATCTCTTGGAGCTAAGGTAGCTAGGCTCTGGCAAAGAGGCTGTGGCTGAGGCTTAGGCTTAGGGCAAGCACATGGAGATTCGTATCTGCAGTTATGAAAGGATGAGCAGCTGTTGCACAAGAAAGGGACCCGGGACATGGCTCATATGAATGGTTCGTGTGCGAGCAGTACAAGGCGGACATGGATTTTTCTTAGAGATTAAGCTTCAATGCCCCCTGGGGACTGGCAGCATTCAGGGGACACGCACAGCCAACCGTCCAGGGCAGACCCAAGCCGCCAGCCCCGGACTGGCCGCTGTAGAAGCCATCCTGAAGAGGAATACTTAGCCAGGGCACGGGCCTGTTCAGTTCTAGTAGCGACTTTACAGAGACTTGATTCGTCGGCATAGGGGCAGTACAGCTGTAGATCCCGCTTTTGCAGTGGTTCTAGCGCATCTTCGGGCCTATCCCACCGGTTGCTCCCAGGGTCACCCCACCGGTACTGACAAATGGCGGGCTATGTTCCTCTGAATAGCGACCAGTTCATCGAGATATCCCGCGGGCATTATGGCTAAACTTAGCTCGTCTAAGCTTGAGACTTTGTCCAAAACCCCAGGACTCCCGCCGCTGTCGAGGCCGTTCGGTCGGCCGTTGTATCAATTCCTCTTCATGTCTTCTTTTGCTGATGGGTGAGTGTGTTGACAACAGTTACCACTTTCAAGACGAGATGGCATGTCATACCCTCAAGTGTGAGTTGTGTCACAATGTCTTCAGCCATCCTACGTTTGCCCGGGCTGAGTATGGATACGGACGGCTTCGAGGCAGCTTGGCTGCATGCCTGCAACCTGTCAAGTAGTTGAGAGGTCGTGGTTGGGAGCGACACAAACGGAGTCGGCGGCAGCATTGACCCGTTTGGCTCACCTTGGCTCACCTTGAGAGGAGGGTGAGACGACGAATCTTTTGCGAGTGCGGCGTCTCACACGTGTCGTTTGAGCGACAGTGTCGTCGCGTCTCAGAAAACGCACCAACTGGCATGCTGCCGCATGATGGAAGAGTCATCGGCGTGACCACGCGTTCGGCCGTTTGGATGGACGAATGCTGACCAAATCCGGGGACGCGACGAACCCTTTAAGCTGGCCGAGCCTCCTGAAAGTCCGTAGAATCGGAGCCCGCGAACACCGTCGTCCGACGCTGTGGGATGCCGGAGTTGGCCCCTTCGGCCCCCGCTGTCAACCCGCCAAGCGCTTCCGGGCCAATCAGATAAACTTATCTTTTCCGGCTCTTGGCGGGCCCCACTCTTCCTGGTCCGCGGAACGCCGTCCACGAGTGTAATGGGGGTTTCAATGATGAAGCTGGCGACATTGACTCCTGTAATTCGGACAAACGCAGCGCAAATTCTTTGGAATCCCGACAAGGAAGGCGCACGGCGAAAGGTGGCCGCGTCTTTTCGTGAAAGCCTCCGAAATTTCGTCAACCAAGTCATGACGTGCTGCAAGATATAAGCTCTTCGTCCGTTGTTTTCCATCCAAAAGCGCATCATCACCACCACCCAAACACTGTGAAGCTCGTCCCTTGCCTCCCACTTCCCAAAAGGCGCCAGAGCTTCATCACCCAACCAAAATTTCACCACGAAAAACGAAAAAGAAACCCGATTACGAAAATACGAAAATCCTCAACTACAGTTTGCGACTACGGATCGAAACCCCGAAATAATGGGGGCCGAAGCCGAGAAAAGGGAAACCGTCCCGGCGGAGGACTTCGCTGCGGATAGCTCCCCGGCCGACGCTGTCAAAGGGGAGGGTGGCGCCTTCAAGGCCTATTTGGTAAGAGCTTATCAAGCGCCTTCCATCTGCTCCATTTTCCTGTCGTATCTTGCGCTGACTCTTCAAAGAGGATCTTTTCATACGGAGGAACGTTTGAGAGGATTCTTCAAGCCGTTGCTTTGATATGTGCAGTGGGATCTGGTGCGGGAATCGCTCTCCAGAACTTGATTTTTGGCAGCTTCGTCACGACCATCCAGGACTTCACCACTGGAAAGTCCACTCCGGACCACTTCCGCGGCGAGGTCTCCAAGCTCGCGTACGTACACCACTCGGTTTTTTGAATTCGGAGCTAACTCCGCCAGTCTCTACTTCGTCTACCTGGGAATCGCCAGATTCGCACTTGCGTACGGCTACATTTCGCTGACGACATTCTCCGCCTACCGCATCACGAGGAACCTTCGACACAAGTACCTCCATGCCGCCCTCCGACAAGAGGTAGCATTCTACGACTTTGGCACCGGCGGCTCCATCGCGACCCAGGCCATCTCCAACGGACGGCTAATCCAGGCTGGAATCGCCGAGAAGCTTGCCCTGACCTTCCAAGGACTTGCCGTCTTTGTTACCGCCTTCATCATCTCCTTCATCACGCAATGGAAGCTCACGCTTATCGTTGTCGGCATTGCGCCCCTCATTCTCGTCGTTATGGGTGTTGCCTCAACCTTCGAGGCTGCCCTTGAGACCAAGATCCTCGATACCTACGCCCAGGCAGGTTCCTTCTCCGAAGGTATCCTCGCAAGTGCTCGAACCGTTCACGCATTCGAAATCAGGTCAAGACTGGTTCAGAAATTTGACAAGTTTCTGCAAGACGCCCATAATCTCGGAAACAAGAAGTCGCCCCTTTTCGGTATCCTGTTTTCCTTCGAGTACTTCGTCATTTACGCCGGCTTCGCCCTTGCCTTCTGGCAGGGCATCCACATGATGAACCGTGGTGAGATTACCGAGTCTGGAGATATTTTCACGTAAGTGTAATCCCTGTTCCCTCGATTCAGTGCTGAGGAACTAACGTCTATCAGCGTTCTTCTTTCCGTTGTCATTGGTACTACTGCTCTGACCATGTTGACCCCGTACATCATCGAGTTCACCCGTGCCGCTTCCGCCGCAGCTCATTTGTTCAAGCTCATCGACCGGCCTTCGGAAATCGATCCGTTCGACAAGTCGGGTGAGCAGCCAACTGACACTGTTGGAGTCGTCGACCTGGAGAACATCACCTTTTCGTACCCTACCAGACCTGGCGTTACTGTGCTGGACAACTTCTCTCTGCACATCCCCGCGGGCAAGGTCACCGCTCTTGTGGGCTCCAGCGGTTCCGGAAAGAGTACCATCATTGGCTTGATTGAGCGCTGGTACAACCCCAAGGCTGGCACCATCAAGCTTGACGGCAAACCAATCGATCGTCTCAACCTCAACTGGCTTCGTAAGAATGTCCGTCTTGTCCAACAGGAACCCATTCTGTTCCAGGGCACAGTCTTCGACAACATTGCCAATGGATTGGTCGGAACCCAGTGGGAGAATGCCCCGCGGGAGGAGCAAATGCAGCGGGTGCAAGAGGCCGCCAAGATTGCCTTTGCGCACGACTTTGTCTCACAGCTTCCAGAGGGTTATGACACCATGATTGGTGAGCGCGGTGGTCTCCTTTCAGGTGGACAGAAGCAACGTGTGGCCATCGCTCGCAGCATCATCTCGCAGCCCAAGGTTCTCCTGCTGGACGAGGCTACCAGTGCTCTCGACCCGCACGCGGAGGGTGTCGTCCAACAGGCTCTCGACAAGGCCTCTGAAGGTCGCACCACAATTACCATCGCGCACAAACTAGCAACGATTCGCAAGGCAGACAACATCGTCGTGATGAACAAGGGCAAGATTGTGGAGCAGGGAACTCACGAGGGACTTCTCAAGCAGGACGGCGCGTACACCCGTCTCGTTAGAGCCCAGAATCTGTCTGTTTCTGAAGAGGGATCTATCACCGAGACTGAGGGAGATGACGACGATTCTGCCCCGAAAGAGAACATCGAGATGACCAAGACTATGAGTCGGTACCGGACTGCAGACCAGAACCGCATGGAGCTCCAAAAGGAGCGTGACAACTACGACCATCACAAGCAGCAGGGCCTCATCAGCGTGGTTATCAGAATGGTTCGCGAGACCCCAGAGTTGAACTGGGCTTACTTTAGCACCTTGGTTGCCGTTGTTGTAGCTGGTAAGTGCCTTGAAGATGCATCCTCCGTGACATTTGCTGACAGTATGCAGCTGGTGCATTCCCTGGTCAATCTTTGATCATCGCCAACCTCGTCGACGTCTTTACTCTGACAGGCTCAGAAATGATCTCCAAAGGCAACTTCTATTCTCTGATGTTCTTCGTTCTCGCTCTCGGCGTCTTTGTCTGCTACTTTGCTATGGGCTGGACGACCAACACAATTGCACAGGTAAAGTTGGCCCCTAATCTGATACTCGAAGTGCTTGATCTAACGCATGATAGGGCCTCAATCACAAGCTCCGTAAGCAGGCTCTCAACGATTTCCTCCGACAAGACCTCCAATTCTTCGACCGCAGAGAGAACAACACTGGCGCTCTGGCCAGCAAGCTTGAGTCCAATCCGCAGTCCATCTTGGAGCTCATGGGTTTCAACATTGGCCTCATCTTGATCTCGACCCTCAACGTAGTGGCTTGCAGTATCCTGGCCATTGCTACCACCTGGAAGCTTGGTCTGGTTGTTGTGCTCGCCGGTCTCCCGCCCTTGGTGAGCTCGGGGTATATCAAGGTCCGCCTGGACTCCAAGCTCGACAACAGCACGTCGAAGCGCTACTCTGCCAGCGCTGCCATCGCCTCGGAGTCGGTCACCGCCATCAGGACAGTCTCGTCTTTGGCTATTGAGGAGTCCGTTCTGAAGAGATACACAGACGAACTTGACCACGCAGTCAGGGCTTCAACGGCACCGCTCTTCACCATGACCGTTGCCTTTGGTCTTACTCAATGCATCGAGTACTTTTTCATGGCTCTTGGCTTCTGGTATGTTCCTAGCCCCTTCTTATTCTAGCTCACACTAACACACCGCAGGTACGGCTGCCGACTGTTGTCTTTCAACGAGATTAGCATGTACCAGTTCTTCGTCGCCTTCATGGGCACGTTCTTCTCCGGTCAAGCCGCCGCACAACTCTTCCAGTACTCCAGCAGCATGACCAAGGGTATCAACGCCGCAAACTACCTCTTCTGGCTTCACGATCTCCAGCCAACCATCCAGGAGACGCCCGACAACCACGACAAGGCCCCCAAGTCAGGCACCTCTCTCGACTTTGATCACCTGAAGTTTTCCTACCCCCTCCGTCCCGAAGCCCACGTCCTGCGCGGCGTCGATCTGGAGGTAAGCCGTCCCAGTCCTCTACAAACTGACGAGAATCGAGACTGACACATCGCAGATCAAGAAGGGCCAATTCGTCGCCCTGGTAGGCGCCTCCGGCTGCGGAAAGAGCACCATGATCGCCATGCTCGAGCGCTTCTACGACCCAACAACCGGCACGATCCGCATCGACGGCGACGCCGCCCTCTCCGAGCTCAACCCGCGCCTCTACCGCCAGTTCGTCGCCCTCGTCCAGCAGGAGCCGACCCTCTTCCAGGGCAGCATCCGCGAGAACATCGCCCTGGGCATCGACTCCGACTCTCTCACCGACGTGCCCGACGCGCAGATCGAGCAGGCCTGCCGCGCGGCCAACGCCTGGGACTTTGTCTCGTCCCTCCCCGAAGGCCTCGGCACCCCCTGCGGAAGCAGCGGCATGCAGCTGTCCGGCGGCCAGAGGCAGCGCATCGCGATCGCGAGAGCTCTGATCCGCAACCCGAGGATCCTGCTGCTCGACGAGGCGACGAGCGCGCTGGACACGGAGTCGGAGAAGATTGTGCAGCGGGCGCTCAACGAGGCGGCGCGCGACGGCGAGAGGATCACGATCGCTGTCGCCCATCGTCTATCCACAGTCAAGGACGCGGACATCATCTGCGTGTTTTACGGGGGCAGGATCGTGGAGAAGGGGACGCACGCGCAGTTGGTAGCCAAGGGTGGCATGTACAAGCAAATGTGCGAGGCGCAGAATCTCGAGTAGAGGGACACTGAGGATTCTTTTGTCATCAGGAGTTGAGCAAATGGCTCCTCCTTGGGTTTTTCGGCATGGCGTTGGGAGACATTACCCTGTACAACGTACGCATCAACTGCACACAACTCGGCCACCATAGAACTGTAGAGTAGATCTTAATGTTTATCCACTTCAAGATAACAACGCATTGTTGATGGTCCTGTCTACACTGATTCTCCCGTGTCCACGCGGCTAAGATTACTGTGTTTTTAAGTACCCCTACCATATCGAAGACGATAGTAGCGACGACGACGACAGCCACAATAATGATAACGATGGTACGATAACAACGGCGACATAATACAATACAACAGTAATACAATACAATACATTACAAAATACAATACATTACAAAATACAATACAGAGAAAGCATACATCACATCACAGGAATACAACATATTATATTACAGCAATACAATACAATATACCTTACAACGCATGTATTGTAATGTTGACGTGTTGCATTGTCTTCTCCGCCCGAGCACCAGCATATTCCAAGACTGGCTTTCGATGAAATTTACATATATCCGCCGACGGTTCATGGTCGGCCAGGCACAAGGTTCTCAAAATAATACAAACTGCTCCACCAAACGCTCTTCATCCTGAAAAAAAGCATACGGTTCCAGCCCATACAAGTAACAATCATTCGCCATCACCCATCCCTCACCCTCCTCCCGCCGACGCAGCACAAACGGCTCATCTGCCCCGGGAAAGAACACGACATGATCACCGACCCGTGCCCGAGGACCAGCGAGCCCCATGGACCCGTCTTCCGTGATAAAAAAACGCCGGCCGTAGCATGAAAGCTCCATCTGCTTGCCAAACTCGCGGAGTTCATACTCAACTTCAGTGGCAGTCACACCCTCTTCTTTGTCCCGTTTCCCGACGCCCAGCCACCAGAGGTAGAATTCGCGGTCCCGCAACATCATGCCCGGATCCGCCTGCTCGAGTATCCCCGTGCCGCAATGGCGGTACCACTCGGCGAACCCAAAGTCGATGCTGTGCAGCTCATCACCATGGCTGGCCGCCAGAGTGGCCGCAAACGCCCGCGTCACTGACGGGGCATTCGTCGTCTTCTTCCACTCGGAAATCAGCGCCGCTGCGAGGGCCTCCCACTCTCGCATGACCCTGGCAAATGCGTCTGTTCCGGGAGTGTAGGCTGTGTCTGCAGGCAGTTCGGGCCCCAGGGATCGTATCGTGTCGACTCGCTTTCCTCTAAGCAAAAGCGCACCATCGTCTCGGAAGGACATCCCGGGGAGAATCTTTTGCGTCAGCTCGCTTGCGGGAACACTGGAAGAAGTCCCGTCCACCACTCGATAGTCCAAGTCTTGCGGGATTCCGTAGGGAGGGTGCCACGAGTGTAGGGGAAGCGTGCCCGCCGTCGCCGTATCTGTAAAGTCGGGAACCCAAGTCGGCAGGGACTTCGTCCGCGCTCCAACGCCGAAACACCTCAACACGCGTAAATCTCCCGTCAGCCGGATCACGGCTTCCGTAAACTGGCGGAATATCTGCTCCACTGGCATATCATAGTCCACCGTGACGAAGCCGGGCTCGAACAACCCCAAAATGCCGTACACCCTGTCCTCAACTTCGCTCGTCTGACAGACGCGGCTGTACCGCATGATGCTCACGGGGTCGCTGCCGTACTTCAACAAGCGCAGCCTCCAGATGTGACTGTCCGCGTCGAACCCTGAAATGGGATGGTCCGGAGGATTGCCCGGGAAACTCAGCCTGCTCGACAGCCCGTTGGCGCCGCCCGAGATATCAGAGCGGCCGGAGCCCAGGTCCATCCACGGCGCCGCGTCCTCCCCGCACATGACGACGGCCTTGCGGCTCAGCGCGACCTCCTGTATGACCCAGGTGCGGAAAAACCACGGGCGCGTGATGAGGGCGAGCCACGCGCGGCGCAGACGGGGCGTCGGTTTCGCGACGTTAGGCCAAGACTTCTTTGCTGACTTGTCCTTGAGGTGCTCGAACACGAGATGGGAGTCGTCGGCGGCTTCGCCCAGCCAGACCACGACCTGGCGCGCGGACTTGTAGATGTCTCCCATGATCATGACCTGCTGGTTGCGTTCGCCGTGGGTCGACTGGTCGATGCAGAGGGCGTCGACCCAGAGAGTTCGGGCTTCGCTGCTGTGACGGAGGTGTACCAGCGCCAAGTGGAGATTTGTAGTGATCGGGACGGTGTGTTCTTCGATGAAGATATGTTTGCTAGGACTGCCGTCTCCCCAGACGTATGACAGAGCTTCGTAGTCTGGCTGGTAGGTGATGTCACTCTGTACTAGACGACCACTCAAGGGCGCTGCGCGGCTGCTTGAGGGGAGCAACTCTAGGAGGCGGAACGAGCTTTTGCTAGGTAAAGGGGTATACTCAAGTATACTGTTGGTGGCGTTGAAATGTGCAGTTGTTGTTGGTGGCCCACACTTCAACTGCGACATAACATCAGGAGACTGTTGTCGAGTCTCGACGAGTTGTTGTAGCCGCAAGTCCCACGCCCGTCTTTGTTTGGATATGGCATCTTTTTGACGAGTTATGAGCTCCCCATAAGAAGGTAGTGACCAGCCGTCATCGCCATGAAGCTTGCATTCCAGCATCTTGACCACATGCAGCCGCTCACCGATGTTCTTCAGGGAATGATATTGGCCTTGCCGCATCGCCGTTGACGCATCCAACTCCAGACCAGGACACCCAGGATCAGCGCCAGCTTCAAGAAGCATCCGCAAAGCCCTGACGTTATCCCTGACAATCGCAAGATGCAGCCAGCTCGTCGGCGTCGGCTGGTCCTTCTCGTCGCGCCGCAGCCTGGCGCTGAACACCCAGTCAACGTGCGGGCCGGGATACTCGGAGACCAGATACCGAATAGTGTCCAGGTACGCATGCCCGCTGCTGATCAACCGAATGGCCGTCTTGCCCCAGCTTTCTGGGTCCGAGGCGAGCTGCGGCCCGTACTCACCGACGCACCAGCGCAACAGCTCCAGCTGCTGTCTCGACAGCGCATTCTTCTGCATCGCGGCGGGATCCAGGACGGCGCCGTGGGATATGAGGAGTCGCGCCATCTCGAGGCTGGCAACGTCGGCGGGCACCGTATGCGGGTGGATGCCGCGCCGGAGGAGACGTTTCGCGAAGTCGAGCTGGTTCCTACGGGCGCAGTGGGCGATCATCTCCTGGTAGTCGGACTCTTCAAGGCTTTCCGCGCATGCTAGGAGGCCTTCCGTAAAGGTCAGAAGTCTTTCTGCGTCTCCGTAGCGCCCTGATGCGATGGCTACCTCTAAAGGGGTTTTATCCTTATCCGTCGCCCGGTTGCCAAAGACGCAACGCCGGCGGGTTCGCGGGCTTTCGCCGTGTTCCATGAGAAGCTTCGCGACTGGAAGCTGACTTGTAGCGGCGGCTACATGTAGGGCAGAACCAAACGAGTCTCCCTCTCCCTGGCCTCCGTCTACCATTCTAGGACCGGCCACATTGGTAGCGACACCAAAGCTAAGTAGCTTCTCAACGAATTCGAATGCGCCCTGATAGCAGGCAATGTGCAGCAGCATAACAAGTCCTAGGTCTTCCTTGGTGTACGAGAGTCCTGCCTGCAAGAGGTGAAGTATGATGCCGCCCCAGGTGTCTTTGAGATCCAGCGCCCACATCGGTCTGTCGTAATTCACCCCAGGCGGCCAGCCAACCCAAGTCATGTCGACGATGCGTTGCGGCGATATCAAGGCGTCAAGCGTGACCTGAAGAAGATTGACTTTGGTCTCCGGCTTGACCTGCTGAGGCCCCTCAAGCCCGTCCTCGGCTTTGCCCAGTTGTACAGGGGTGGACCGGTGATGCTCAGTCGAAAGTTCCGCTCCAGCGGCCCCCAGAAAACGGAAGAGTTCCCCATACCCCAGTATGCAAGCATGGAACAAAGCCGTATTTCCATCCTCATCCAAGCAAGTGACCGAAGCCCCGTGTTCGATCAAGAGCTCCACCATGGCCATGAGCTCAGGACTCGACTCTCTGGGCGACTGGCCAAGCAACCCAGGCTCGACCTTGACCGCTTTGATCGCGACCTGCAGCACATCCTTCTCCTTTGCAAACAGAATATGCGTGTCGTCCTTCTCTACCAATATGCGTGCAAGGCGATAGTCCGGTTTCAACCCCTTTGAGAGACATTTCCGCACGGCCTCGACGTGGTACCGTTTGAACACCGGCGACTGCCGATACAGCACGAAGAACTCGTCGAATTTCAGCTGCTCGAGAGGAGTGAATCCCTGCGGATCGTCGTGTGTGTTTTTCTTGCTGCACAGGCTCACGATCCATTCTCCTGCCGCCGCGATGACTTCCTCCGTCGGGATGGCATCGTCCTGGTCGGGTTGCGGGTGTTCCATCGGCGCCGTGATCAACGTCGCTGGGCTGAATAGAATGCAGAAACGTTGAATGATGTTTTCTCCTAGGGCTCTCGCAAGATCAAGAACTATGAAAAGGACAAGTCATTTTCTGGGCTATAGAGAGAGTGTGTGGCATCAGAACTTCAGTCTGCTGCCTGGCAGATGCCGTGGCGGTGCACAGCACCTCGAAAGGATCGAGGTGGGTGGTATCATAAGGTCAGCACGCTACGCAATGGCGAAACCGGACAAATCCTACGGCTGAAGCTTGAGGTTGCTAAAATAGTCGCGCGCCTCCGGAGGATGCAAGAAGCAGAAAAGAACAGCTTATCGTTAGTGTAGATCGCTGACAGTGTGCTTGTCGGTTCGGCTCCGTAACGGCCGCCCGATGTGGCTGATGGCGGTGCCGCGATTACCGATCGGTGTGGGCACCCCGCGAATGCCCCGGGCATCTTGCCGGCCTGACTTTCGGATTCCCAACCCGGCGCTGAGGTCGACGCCGACAAGAGTCGCGAACAATGCAAAAGCTAGTCAAATGAGTGGCCGATTTCAGGAATGAAAATACGCAACGCCAAACCACGTCCCGGTAAGTTGAGCGTTAGGGCTCACAATCCAA